GGCCCAAGGACGGTCCGCACAAGTACATAGTAATTGTTAAACTTTTAAGCTCATAGACCATAAGTATTTAACTGTTATTTAAAAGAACCTAAAGAAATCGCAATTCTGTATACATGTCAATATTAGTTGGAAGTTGATTCAAATCATAGATCAACCTTTTTTACTGATTTTCTAAATTTCTTTTATTTATCTTTTTTCTGGACTTATTTTGATAAAGGCCTAACTTAATTGCATTTGATTGCTCTTCACTTTATTATTGATTGTACTTTATCGCTCGATGGCAAGTAAAGGCAGCGTCAGAAAATATTCATGAATATTTCTATTGTTTATATAGCTTTGTTATATATAGTAAAAATTATATAAGATAATACAGTATGATGGGTATACTGCTATAATACTTTGGGTAAGCTTGGGTAGAGAGGCGTCGGATCCGAGCATTGGTGGTATTGTGATATCAGAGGAAGTATTTTGCGCCTCATTCTCTAAATTTAAGATTATACTTAGATTTCCTTTGATTAGTTGTATTAATACAGTTCATAATAAACAATCTCAAAACGCTTATATTGTTGTTATTATTTTTAAAATCTACATTTTTTATAACACCCATGTTGCTTGTCCTATCACCAGGATAAAGGTAAAACAAATAAATGATAACGCTGCTCGGCTTCTATTCATGTAGCCTGATGGTATATAGCCTAAAGAATTAATAGTTCCAACAAAGAAATTAAGATAATATGTTTATTAATTTACTGTCGTGTACATTTGCCGCATGTTATTTATAATTGTGATATAAAGCGATTTCTCGGCTGGTGGTTTTGTCGTGTCATGTACATACAATTACCCTCCCCTTCCCCGATCTCCCCAATCCCTGAATCCCCAACGATCCTCAAACTTTGAATCCCCAAAAGGCCGGTAACTCACTTGTAACGCCTCTGGTGTTCCAGGTGGCCATGGGCGACGCCGATTGCTTACCATCGGGGGATCCGTCTGATAGTTTACCGGATTATGCCATAAAAAAAAATACAAGCTCACTCGTTTGTTGATCCGTGCGGCCTTTTAGCCGTAACCGTAAAAAAACCATATTATGGACAAGAGGCCTTATAGTTTATGCCCAAATCACCCTTTTACATTCCTATGTAGAAGGGTGATTTCCTAGGTGATTCTTACGTGGAGTAGGAACTACGTACATAGATGTGATTGATAGATTAATTACGACTCATCTTGAAATGCATTTCTGCTCTCCACTTAAATACAAGAGTAAAGATTTTTTATCCTGGTTTCTTTTCTTTGCAATCAAAGTACCCACTAGCATTATAGAGATACTGATGATTAGAGACGTGTGTGTGTGTGTGTGACTATTGGATATAGGTATTTATCAGGATTAGATCAAACAGGGTTCTAGACTTGAATGTGAATACACCTGCATAATTTTGAATCAGCTAAAGTAAATTATATAATTTCTGGGGTGGTTGAACCATTGGCGCATACCATTCGTGACATGCATACACAGCACATTTAATACCTAAATACACATTTCTAAGAGAAATGGCTTCAGAAATATAAATAACTTTGTGGTTGCACTATCATAATTATGTATTTGACAGGATACCTACTACAGAAAATAAATAATGTTTATAGTAAAATGGTCAAGAAATAAATGTAGAAATTATAATTAGTGTCTTGACATTTTGAAAAACGATATTGTAGGCGTTGGGACTGAATGAATACATTGGTGAATATAAAACTTTTATTAAAATATTCTATATCCTAACTATAAAACGGTAAAAACAGTCATACAATAATAATTGTACAAAATGAACACACTCTTTTATGTAAGGCATAAAAATATGTTGCATTTCACAGGCTGTGGTTTAATGTGGTTTACTGGTTAAGTACTAGACACCATTAAAAAAAAATTACGATTGATGTTGTTGATATGTAGACACTTTTTTATGCCTTATAAATTACTTAAGCATATTAGAGGATAGTATTAATTATTATTGTAACTTAGAAACCATGTTCAATTCAGCTGATATTTTCTTGTAAACTCCATATAATACAGTTATGTGACATACATGTAATAACGCACTAGTTAAGTAGGTACTAGGATATGTGTTCCAGCACATTTCAATAAGAGCAAGTATTAGAAACCTAAAAATAACCGAGTAATTATTGGACCATAGCAAGTAAGGCAGACTGTGGAAATACCATGAATAAAACTGATAGTGAAGGCTTCTTGAACACATGACACCAATGAAGTTAACAATAAACATTGGCAGGATAAACAATTGAGATAAAATATCAAAATTGATACTGTAGTGTGGATCTTTGTCTTGGTCTATTGGTTTTTTAAATGATTTCTTTCCACCTTTTTGTGAAGACTTCTGTAACATAACTTCAAATGAATTAAGGAAATCTTCCTGATCTTTGGTCAAGTTTTCTTGTTCATCATTGTTTTTATTTAACTTTTTCTTCATTTCTTTCTTTTGTTTACTTTGTCTTTTATTTTCTAAATTTTTAGCATCAATTTGAGGTTGAACCTGTTTCTGAACATACTTGAGACGACAATAACTTTTGAAATATTTTATACACATTGGAATAAATATTATCAGCAATATAACATGTATAGCCAACAATGTCAAGTGGAAGCATTTATTTTCAAATATTTCTACATCCAAAAATCTGTAGTTAACAGTCCAAGTATGATTGAATACACGGCCCAAATCAAAGCTTCCTTTCAGATAAGCTATAGGGCTGTGCAACAAAAAGGGTAAACCCAAGACTACTTGAATCATACCACAAATGAACAGTTGTATAATAGTTCCCTTGAAGCCCAAATTAGTCAAATAAAAAAAGAATAGTGCAGGAGCATAAAGTAGTATGTTCATTTTTACAGACACTCCTAAACTATAGAATATGCTACCAAGGTACCACTTGGAATCCACAAAGAAATTCAAAGCAACATACAAGAAAAGTACAGCAATGGGGTCATTGAATAGTCGCAACACATAAATGGAGTGAATTCTGTATGAAGTTAATATAGTAATGACTAGGACATATGGTGGAACTTTCTTAGTTTTTATATAAATTCTAAGAACAAGACATAACTGCAACAAATATATACCAATGAATATGTATTGTGCTACTTTAATGTTTTCTCCTTGGCCAGTAAGGAAATATAGAAATGAATAGATATACACAAATCCTGCTGGGTAAACTAGAGGTCCCGTGTCTCCTCGAAGCTGGCTGTAGTCCAAGGTTCCATTTAAGAATCCCTCACATTCTTGCATATAAGCTTTCCAGTCGATTTCGGTATACGGCACACGTTCCACAACTAGTATGTTAATAATTAGTTCGGCAACGACGAGGGCTAGCGCAGTCAATGTTAACTGTGCAGGGTTTACTATAAGCCCTTTCATATAAGACCATGTAAACATCTTCGTGATTTCATGACAAAACTCCTGAAATTTGGTCTTACCGCCCATGGCGAAGGTAATTTCTTATTTGCCTCCACTTATCAAATTAACATAGATGTAACGTTCAGGTAAAAAGAGCTCGACAGACTTCGTTTATTATTTCTATTTTAAGATTAGGTCACAGCACCGGTCTGCAATACCCGTGAATACCCCGGCGGCAGCAGACGCAGGTAGCAAAGAGTATAATAAGTATAGGGGTAAGGTAGTCTCTGACATCGATTTGACAGTTGACATTGTTGACACTGACACATACATAAGACGTAGACGATGCGTAGATGTTACCCAACATTGCCAACTTTAGGAAACTAGCATATTTGACAGCAAACCAATTTTGATAGTGATGGGATATTTGTAGGATTCCTAATTTCCTACCAATATTCGAAGGATTAGAGAACTTAAGAAACATAAACAATCAAACTATAATGATAAGCTAAATAAAAAAAAAACAGTTGTTTAAATGGACAAAAGCAAAATTACGAATTAATGTAGGTAGTACGTAATTTTTTTTAATCGACTACACATAAGAACTTTTACATTTTGTATACAATATTGAATTTGTATAATACCTATTCCGGTCCAGTTTACTCGCGAATGCTATTTAGTTTAGGAGTAACTACCTGTTAAGCTTTGATTTGAACTACATCGACCGGGACTTTTAATCGGCTTCGGCACCGTTGTCGCGCAATGTAGCACATGGTGACACACAGCAACGATCTGTAGACGATGTTGCTGATGAAAGAGGTTTTAAGGGGGAAAAATCATCGAATGACTGCTTCCACCTTTAGTGTCAGACTTTTACTGACTAAAAACCACCCCGTTCCTTCTCCTGCACGTCGAGCCGGAGCCCCGGTTACCCGTTAGGTTCTCCGTGACACTCCCAAAATATTAGGAGACGGTTAATTTTTTGCTACAAACTGCATGAATATTTAAACAAGTTCTCATTGAACAATCTCAACACTCGCACGGCGCTCAGCACGTAACATGACGGAGCTGGGGCAGGGGGCAACAGATAGGTAGCACATAGACATAGCTCAATGCTTAATGTTTCTGTCCTTCTTAGTTTTTGAACACTTAGGTGTTAAGGAACAGGAAACTGTAGACTATAGCCTGTATCTAAATACATATTTATAAGCCTTAAGGTACCTATTGACCTTTACTAAATAAATTGGTACTAACTAACTAGTATATCTATGAGCTACGTCTATGTATCTGCTTACAATGGATTAATATCCCTAACGTCCTTTGTGCAACGTAATGTTTTTTATTAGGTTTCCCCTTGACTTACTTTAAGGCACGCACGTTTATTATTTTACAAGAACCATCTGGTAGGTAACTCTATATACTTATAACTTTTTAAGGATTTCAAGATAATATGTAAATACCTTTAATAGCTTACTGAAAGGGCCTTGACCGGCGATATCAATCGTCGTATTCTCTGTTTAGGTTTTATGATGTTTACAAAATCCTTACATTTGATTGTCTACGTTATCTGAAATAAAATTGAATGAGTTAGCTATTACGCTGGTACATTTCAGATGAGCAAGGCCAGTCATTTTGTATTAAATGAAGAACAATATGTAAAACACTTTAAAAATGTTGTGCGCATTTATAGTTTAAGATCGTATTTAAAGTTTAATAAGTAATATAATTGTAATTTTTTTAGTTAATCATGAAGTTTATAATAAATACGTTTACTGTTATTTTTACTCTTTCAATAGGGCTGAAAGTGTTGGGAGCAGATGTACTTCGTAAGTACCTAGAGAATTTTAAAAAATATTTAATGTCAAATTCAGGATATATTATGTAACTGTAAATGTTACTTACGTATTGTAAAATTAGTAAAGTTTATTAAATCGAAAAGGTCATTTTTACCCGACAGATGGGAGGGTACCTATTTTAATTTTGTTCTGGTTTGAACAACTTGTGATCCTAAAAAACTGTTACTACTTAAGTACTAAATATTAACTTAGAAAATTGGATTACCTAAATATTATTCCATAGTAGTATGGAAGTACTTAATTACTTTGCTATCCCTATAAATTCGTCGCGGAGAACCTAACGTGTTACCAGGGCTCCGGCTCGAAGAGCAGGAGAAGGAACGGGGTGGTTTTTAGTCAGTAAGAGTGACACTCCCTCCCGCCTTGCCCAGGCGGGAGCAGTCATTCGATGATTTTCCTCCCTTAAAACAATCCCTATAAATTCATAATGAGTTAGTTTCCTAACTACCTACGAACAACCAAAATTTTCTTTTCGTTTTTTTTAATGTAGAGTTAGTATGTAACTAAGAACAATTATTATCATCTAACTAAGATTACGTTTATTGTAGCAAGGAACTGTATTGAAGAACAAATACTAGGTGCGTTAGCAAAATGGCGGAATGGTACAATCGCACCTGCAGTGCCTTTGTTAAAAGGGATAAGGATAAACTCTGTAGAGGGTTTATACGAAGGCTTCGGGATAAAGTAAGTAAAATTCCTTTTTTATTTGATGCTAGCATGGATCTCTCACGATTAATTTCGAAGAATGTTCTCGGCAATGATATTATAAATAATAAAAAGAGGTTCTCGGTATCTAATATTACGAAATAAGATTAGAAAATTCTTTATTTTCTTTTAGGATTAGATACAGGACTGGTGAAATGAAACTGAGTGGTGTGGAAAACTTCGCTATAGAACAACTGTCTGTGTCTGCAAAAGATTTGGAAGCATCTGCGACTGTGCGATTTCCAGTGTTGATATTAACTTCGGGTAAGTATTTTAAAATAATGTGCGTAATAATAATCTTATCCAGTGTGCCTCGTAGGGGGCCTGCTAACTCTAATAATTATGGGGTTCAGAGCCGAGGTAATGTAATGAAATAATGAATTTATACGTTGACAATTCCTGGCGTAGGGCAAAAGTGGGAATAGGTTAATTTTTAGTCAGTGAAAGTCCCCCTGGAGTGATATTTCCCCTAGCCCCCATCCAAGGCACCATAAGAAAATTTGATGAACTTTCATTTTCATTCTCAGAAAAAAGGCCCTATCAGTTTCATGTCATACCAATACTTTAGGAGTCCAGTTGGCTGCTCATTTCTCTACACACCGAGTACGCCTCTTAATGAATGAGTTTCATTGCGAATTGCAATTAGTAGAGCTTTCTCCTATAGTTCTCGACAGTAAGCCGTATCACATATTTCATTTACATAATCGATTGTAAACAAATATTGTTCGAAATTTCAGATAATTACAATCTTAACGGACGTGCGTACGTGATGTACTCCCTGAAAGGGTCAGGATTAATGAAGTGAGTTTATATCAGGAGGCAGACAGATCACATAATATATTATTTATAGTGGCGAAGTATTTATTAAACTATCATGTACAAGAACCTTCTCTATCAAAAACCCGACTCTCGAATCGGGATCCAAAAGCGTTCTGAGGCAAACTTCTTCTCAAGTTCTGACTTCAAAAAGTCACAGATATATTTAAAAAAAACAGTATATTTATATATTTTTGTAAATCATAAATTATCAGTAATTTATATTATCAAAACATTATGATAAAACTTTTTAATATTTTAACGTTTCAGAGTAATTTTCCAAAATACCAAGGTGACACTAGGAACAAAGTTAGTTCAGAAAGGCACAGTATATCAAGTGGAAGACGTTAATTTAAACTTCAGTGTTAAAAGTGTTCAGGTAAGTTGGGTCCCCCAAACCTAAATACTTTTAAGACCAAGATCAAAAAGGAAGACATTCAACACAATTTGTGAACATGGATTATATGTACATTGAACTATTTCGAGCGGAATCCAAATGCGACATGTTGCCTAGCAGCCGATCGTCGCCTAATCGTTGAATAAACGTGCAGCTGTTTACAAACACATATGGTTTATAAATTAAGGCATAAGGTTACCCAGGTTACATACCCAGTGGTTTCTTTATTCACAGATTGATTTGGAAGATAGTTCGTGGCCAATCAATACGGTGTTGAACAGCAACGCTATGCAGATTTTGGAAAGCTATCGCAGCGAAATGGTTGCCGCTGGTAAAGACATGTTGAAGCAAGCGATCAACGGTCATCTAGCAACAACGATATTTCCACAATTATTGAACAATGCTGGAAATAACTTTTGTAACCTCACTTTGTCTGCGTTACGTTTAAGTAATGTATGACATTAATTCCATCAACTAGGTTATTAAGGAAATACTCCGAAATACACCATACATCCCCAAGCGGTCACCGGTGACCGCTCTCCACTAACTACATTATAGATCTTATTTCCAATGTTTAGAGACTACTTTTGTATGAACAAATTTAGGGGATGATTTTCAATGGGTTAATGTACGTATACACTATTAAGTTAACTAGGTTAGTAAACAATTTAAATAATTATATGATAATTAAAAATAAATTCGTCTTAAACTAAGAATTGTAGACCTTAATTTTCCTTGAAAAGCCAAACGATGAGGATTGGAAGTGGTACTGGTGTCGTGGTGGTTTGAAATCGCCAACCCGCATTGTGCAAGCGTGGTGATTAATGCTTCTTTTCCGTGAGAGAAGAGGCTTTGCTCAGCAGTGGGCATTTATAGGCTGATGATGATGATGATGAGGATTGGAAGTCGGGTCGCTAAATTGAAATAGCGTTTGTAATTTGACTTGGGATAACGTTTACTGAATTGAAAAATATTAAATTACAGCCAGAATTATGTACAACGTTACTTCGATTATTTATCAATTTCGTTTGTTAGTCATGTGGATGTCTATGAAGACACAACTGCGAGAGTCTTGATGATTCGATAGGAGTCCCCATTCGATTGAAACTGTGATCGCATTTGTCTCTAGCGTTGCCTTGACTCTTCTTACTAATAAATACCATTTAAGAATTTTATTGACTTATTTTATACATAAAGAATTAAAGTCTTGTAGGAACATTTTTACTAAGTATAATAAGTGTTGTTCGTTCAGTACACACAAAGGTAACCCTAGTAACTCTAACCAAAACAATATCGCGTTCTGTGGCCTTCATTTTATATAATATTTCTTTATTGAGTTCTTGTAAATATACTTTGAGAATAGCACTCGTTTTCAGTTCTAAAGGGTGGGAAGGTCTTTGGTGTGGGACGCAACCTGGGTCGACACCCTTGCACCTTCTCATCTTCCAGAAACGGCGAGTTGTGCTGGTTCGGCTGCTGCCTCTGCAGAGAACCTCAAGCGGCGCAAGTATAACAACTTTGCTGGCAGTTATATCTTTGTGCCGTTTGGGGTTGAGACGCTAGGTCCGTGGGGTCCGAGTGCGCTTAATTTATTCAATAACATTTCGAAACGCCTGGTCGACGCATCTCGTGGCCAGAGGGCTGGTCTTTTGCTCGGTCAGAGGTTAAGCATTGCCATAAAACGTGGCAATGCTGACAGCCTTCTGGGTACTTTCCCCACTTAGTTTTAATTTTAAAGGGTTATTAAATATCTTCGTTATTGCATACATTGTCTCGTCTACATTAGACTCGATGCTCGATTCGAGCTAGAAGAAAAAGAACATATATAGTATACATAAGTAAGTGTACGGCTATGGCTACGGCTGCCGCTACGGCAACGGCTATGGCTGTAGTTATGGCTACGGCTGCAGCTACGGCTGCGGCTACGGCTGCGGCTACGGCTGCGGCTACGGCTACGGCTGCGGCTACGGCTACGACTGCGGCTACGGCTACGACTGCGGCTACGGCTACGGCTGCAGCTACGGCTGCGGCTACGGCTGCGGCTACGGCTACGGCTACGGCTACGACAATGGCTACGGCTACGGCGACGGTTGCAGCTTTGGCTACGGCTATAGTAGCGTTAGTCTAACCACAGCAGCCGGTCATCCAGGTCGCCAGCCGTGCAGGCAGAGAGTCAGTGTAAAGGTATCATTATGTAGGTTATTTGTGAAGTTTTAAGTATTGGGGAAGGAACTGAGAGTTACGAATGAAAAATCAAAATAATACAAAGTAGTGTATTATACCAAGTAATTAGCCGCGATTAATTAGTAGTTGTTTTATTCATTTATGTACTCATATGAGTAATATGGATATGCTTCAACGTATCTTTCACTTCTAAGATGCAAATTGCGATTTTTGTCGGAAGGTTTAGGTTGTTGTTTAGATATGAGGTAGTCGATGACAGAGATAGCAGGAACCTGCGCAAGTTCTTCGTTGATCAGCTTAAACACTACTCTGGATATTGAATTGACGATGTCCTCTAAACGCTTGTTCGTAAATTCCATTAACGTAATTTGGAAGTCCACCAATTCTTGAATTATTTCAAGTGAAATCTGAAACATAAAAAAACCCAAAGACTAAAACTAAAAAGCAAAAAATAACTATTATTAGTACTGATAGATTACCAACCCACTGATTGGCTAGAAGTCTCGATTTTTTAAACGCAGTTTCTATTTTTTTACATACATAGCTTCACGCCTGTCTCCCATGGGGGTAGGCAGAGTCTATGGAACGTCAATTACTCATCTATTTGTTATTTTTAGTACAAAGCTATATAGACCCGTTTTGCCACTTATAATCCTTATATGTGAAAAGTTCTAATCAATATAAATTAAACAAGCCCAAACACAAGCTAGTTAGTGTAAACCATTGAAGAGTTTTCTTAGCAATTACACTTCTTCATCACCAGACCCTTAATTACAGTATCTCTTCTATCTATGTATCTAGGTGTAAACGTCTCATCAATACAAATTAATCAAGCCCAGACACAAGGTAGTTTCTGTATAACCTTGAGGAGTTCCCTCGACTGTCTTTCGGCTCCATCATCAGGTCGACTCCAGACCTATGTCAAAGTGTACCACTAGTTTTTTTTTTAAATATCTCTTGAAAATATTCATAAACGTATATCCCTATAACTTTCAAAAGTTGCCCTCAGGTTACCTGAGATCCCATCATCAGATCCTGACCTCGTGACAATGGGACCACCTCGAAAGTACAACATTTAAAAAAAAATAAGAATTTTAAAAATCTGTCTACAAATGGCGGAGTAATCGGTAAACATACATAAAAAATCAATCATTCATCAAGCTTGTATAGGTACTTGTACACAATATAATGAAACTGCTGAAACGAACGACATTTTTATAAAATGTGAGTAGTTTACCAAAATTTTGCTGACGTCTATACTGATTGCGGCGTCCACGATTTGAAACACATTGATATTTGAAGGTAACAACATTGTTGCTACAGTCAGCACTCCTGAAACCTTCACATCATTCGAAACTGTGCTGCAAAATAAATAAAAAAAATAAAAATATTTATTATATAGTTATGTATCTGTATCTATATCTGAGAAAACCATAGGAATAGAATTAAAGAAATAATTATCAGTACAATATTATAAAAATAAAATGCTATTCATCAACCTCGCCTAAACTTGAAAACAGCTGGAATGATTCTCTTAATTTTGGTCGTGAAATATTTGTGAACGTTCAGGTTTCAAGGTAAAGAAATATGAGAAAATTACAAGGACAATTCTTTTCTTATAATAATAATCTGTTTTATAAAGTGATATGCGATTTGTGACATGGAAAATTTAAGTCATTGCAAATAAACTTTAATGCTGGGTTCGCTACAGCTAGGGAACACAAGTCTCACGAGATATGAAGTTGGTTAATTAATATACTAAAATCTTTTCCTAAGTGTAACAAACACTTTGCTAAAAACCGCAGCAAAATCGGTTCAGACAATCTCGATATAATCGCGATGCCTACATACAGGTCAAATAGAGTGAACCTCCTTCTTTTTCGAAGTCGGTTGAAAATGCTTGTCGTCTCACCTCAAATTGGCGATCGAAGCAAAGTGATGTTGATCTATCAATCCGTTTACAAAAACTATACCTGCAAACAAAAAGTATGTACATAAAGGGCCGATTTATCAAACGCCAGATAAATTTTTACTGAGGAATAATTTTGAAATTTTGACAATTCTTCCATACTAAAAACTGTCAAATGTTAATTTTATTGTAGGTACAATTAAAAATTAACTGATATTCAAAATTCAAAGTTATTCCTCAGTCAAAGTAGTTCCGATACATAATGAACCGATGAACCTATATATTTGTTTCGTTTTCTATGTTTAACTTTTTTTTCTAATACTTGATAGATTCAACTTCAACTTCTAGTTCAAATTCAAATTCAAATTACTTTATTTGTAGAACACATGTTACAAAAGATGTTACAAGCTTTACATTGACCAGTTATGTCTTGCCACCACCGGCGTACAAATATATTAAATCAATTTACCATTTATTAATTATAGTTCAAGTGCGAACAAGTCCTGCACTTGTAATCCTAGGAGATAAGCAGTTTTTACTTTAGTATAATTATAATATAAGTAGCTATTAAAAGTCCTGGTACCGTCTGTTGTTAATGAGGGGAAGCTCAAGTTAAAGTCCAGTCTAATAGTTCCTCCAAGGCGAACTGTTAGATTATCCAATGTAGCCTGCTGAAAACCATTTACCATAAAATTGTATAGGTATAGAGCCACTCTGTAAGATAAACAAAACCATTAAAACATTTATGTAAGTTGACCCTTTTGCCTCATCAAGTAAAAATATAATTACTAGTTATAAACGTTGATTTACCAGAGAAGCCATGAGTATGAGTTTATATAAAATAATATGACATGATTTAAATTTACAATTTTTTATAAGTGGTTTGTGATCTGTCACTTCAACGTTACTAGTCAGTTCCATTCAGTACCTAATTTTTTTATCAGGCACATCTTTAACGCGTCACTTATTTTGCTAGATTCCGTAATCCCAGAATGTAACAAGTAAGTAGAGAATGTCACACGCTTACTTACACGGTGTTTAGTTCGCGTAGATGGATACGATTGACAGATCGCATTAGTGTTGTGTCCAACGTAGGAAGGAATTGTTGTAAAAATATTTTTGCGTTCTGGGTGGCTGCCTCATCACGCGGTGACAGTGGGCTGTCCTCCAACTCGGAGGGACCTCTGGCATTCTTGTAGATGTGAATGGGACCCTCGTCGAAATTCCCTACAATGAAGTTGAGGCTACCATGTAAACCATATTGATAACTTGAGAGCCTTCAAAATGGCAGTGGATTAATGCCCGTTTTCACCGTACAACGTCTCTTAAATTTTATGGAACCCTTAAGCTAAGATAGGTGACGTTTACCGGAATTTTGGTTTTCACCTATAAGTGACACTTACCAGTACTAGTAAGTTAGTTTAAAGGCTACGCTGAGTAACTTTTAGTTAAGAGATAGTTTAGGGGAGGTTGGTGAAAACGGCCATGTCTCTTAATGTTTATCTTTTTCAGTTTCAAAGAAATAAAGTGTAAACTCACATAAGACGGCCTGCGCTGGGAACACGACACAGAATATGTGCAGTATAGCAGTCAGCATGGTGGCGCTGGTACGTTACCGCTCTGGTGGACAGTGTACCAAACGTGAGCGCCCAGGGAGGTAACAAACGATCTTGAACTATTTGTTTGGACCAGGGGAATAAATTAATTTTATAATCGTATTATTATTACAACATAATTCTGAATTCCAATATTAAATACTGTCGTGTATGATACAAGTTTTCTATTCAACCAAACATTTATATTTAATTGATTTATGTTTTTCATAGTTTTATCATTATTATAAATTACCAATAAACGTTTAACGTACATTATATTTATATTTTACGTCAGAAAAATTAATATTATTATGTTCATTAATTACATTACTTAGTTTTACGATCTAACCATGATAATTTTGTAATAGAACGTATCTAACTACACGATTATGAATATTAGATACAAATTAAAACTCATTTTGGTACTTATCGTATATTTATTATATGACTGCACGGTTAGTGCCGTGGCTGAGCGCAATGTGAAGCGGGTTCGATTCCCACACGGAGCAACTCTTTGTGTGATCCACAAATTGTTGTTTCGGGTCTGGGTGTCATTTGCATGTGAAATTGTATGTTTGTAAACACACCCACAACATAGGAATAAATCTTGGTGCGGGATAATGTTTAAAAAAAGCTATTGATTCTTTTATTACCATATTTAATATTTTTATACCATATTTTACTCTATTACTCGAATAGGAATTGCGTTTACATTTTATTATGAAGATGAAGGTGACAAGTGTACCTCTATATTATTAGGTGACAAGTGTCATTCTTATACCTCTAAGTTATCGCTCGCGCAAACACAAACATATTTTATAAGCAATGTGCGACGGACTAAGTGTGCGAGCAACATCGAACTGGCCAACAACAATGTATCCTCTTATGAATTCACTTCTTAATCTGTCAAACACCGAGCGGTCACCGGTGACCGCGACCTAGTAACCTAGTTCTTTAATTGTGTCTATAAAACCGGTACTCGACGAGTTAAAAGGACAATACAAGTAAAGGGTTGGTACAGAGGCGGTTGATGAAAACGGCCATTTTTATAAGGCGAGCAAGGGTACCTCGCCGTCCAATCAGAACCAGACCTGACCAGAGGCGCGTCGAGTTCCGTGCGCGCCTCAAAGAGCCATCAGACCACTACAGACGGGGCCCAGTAGAGCTGATGCTCGATGCGGAGCCGCAGAGGACTTACGGGTTGCCGGGACTACGGTTTGAAGAGCAAGAGTAGGAACGGGAGAGATAAGTCATTGGATGATATTCCCCTCTTAAAAGAAGGTGTCACATATAGGTTGGTAAAAATAAAATGTCGTTAACCTGTCTTAGCTTAGGGGTTCCTTAACATTAAGAGAGATTCGTGAAAAAGTCCCCAGGTAACTCGCAATATCGTCCGCAACTCTAATGCGATACTTCATACTTTAATAATGATGCTCTGTTCGGAAACGTCCGACCCACGCCCACCGCCGCTGCCGCCGCTGGTAATTGATTTTCGGAACACCATGTAGATACCAATTTACTAAAGAAAAGGACGTTAATTTAATTCGTCAACTTAAATGCAATAGGTATTATACGTTGTTGCAAATGATTTTTACCGACTTCAAAAAAAGGAGGAGGTACTATGTTCGGCTGATTGTTTTTTTCGCTCAGTACTCCGCCATTTTTGAACCGATTTTGAAAATTCTTGTTTTGTTTGAAAGGGAATAAATACTCCCGAGATGGTCCCATTTCCATGAGGTCAGGATCTGATGATGGGATCCTAGGGAAACCGAGGGGAAATTTCGAAAATTCTATAGGCGTGTAATGCGTGTATTATGTTTTTCAATTACGATTTTTAAACACTACAATTTGATGAGGATCTGGAGTCGACCTGATGATGAAGCCGACAGACAGTCGAGGGAACTCCTCAGCGGTATACTGTAACTACCCTGTGTTTCGGCTTGATTAATTTGTATTGATGAGGACTTTACACCTAGATAGAGTGGGGCTGTCATTAAGGGTCTGATGATGAAGAAGTGTAATTGTTAAGGGAACTCCTCAACGGTATACAGTAACTACCTTGTGTTTGGGCTTGATTAATTTTTATTGATGAGGACTTTACACCTAGATAGAGTGGAGCTGTCATTAAGGGTCTGATGATGAAGAAGTGTAATTGTTAAGGGAACTCCTCAACGGTATACTGCAACTACCTTGTGTTTGGGCTTGTATAATTTGTATTGATTAGAACTTTGCACCTATATAGATTATAAGTAACAAAACGGGTATATGTAGATTTACACTGAAAATGATAAAATAATAAAATAAAAACTGCGTTTAAAAAACTGACTTAAAAAAACCAAAAACTAATAACAAACAAAAAGTCAAAAGTAAAAAATAACTATTATTGGTACTGATAGGTTACCCACCCACTGATAGGTTAGAAGTCGGTGCCATAAGCTCATATCATAATGATATAACTTAATGTCCACAAAATTGTGAATTAGGTACCTATTAAGGTTTTAATGAATAATTTTGTATGGAACTTATGGCACCGACTTCTTACCTATCAGTGGGTGGGTAACCTATCAGTACCAATAATAGTTATTTTTTGCTTTTTAGTTTTGACTTTTTGTTTGTTATTAGTTTTTGATTTTTTAATAACAAGTTAATAGCACACCTGCTTTTTCTCTATTTTTAAATATCACTAGTTTTCATCAAAACTTCATCATCTTCTTCATTTAGAATGTTTACTTAGTAGGTACCTACTCTCTTCAATTTGTTGTTGACATTGATCTCTACCAAAGGAAGGTAAGTAAGACGATCGCGCACATGTTATCCGCGGCCGGGCGGTCAGCGTTCGAGTTTCGACTAACAGCCGCCACCAGCGGGCAGCGGCCAAGAGTGACCGTGGCCTTAGAGGTGCTTAGGTTGGCGTAACTTAAGTGCCGCTGCATATCATTATGGGGCAACGAAAGTGTTGCTTCTACCAAGTGATTATTCCTTACCAGAATAGAAGGATCAGTAAAATAAAAGACTCCTTGAGAACTCCAAAAGTTAGAAGTTTAATTATAAATAAATCATTGTAGGCTATGTATACTGGTTCACAAAAGCGAGGATGGTTTGGCGGAACTCAGCAAGTATTTCTGTATCTCCGTGACGGTGAGCTGCTTGAGCTCATGGCTGATGGCCTTCAGAACTGCGCGGAGTATATCGTCTACAACCAAGGAGTATTTGTTTGTATTGTTCAAGAACTCCAATACAATGCCTCTAAACTCTTCAGAGTGCTTATCCATTTGCATCACGATCTGGAAAATTTTAAAAAGATTTTAATATAGTGTTTAATCAATACATAGTATAAAACAAAGTCGCTTTCGCTGTATGTCCGTATGTATGCTTAGATCTTTAAAACTACGCAACGGATTTTGATGCGGTTTTTTTTAATAGATAGAGTGATTCTTAAGGAAGGTTTGTATGTATATACATATTGCACCCGTGCGAAGCCGGGGCGGGTCGCTAGTAAATTACACAATACAATTTTACTTTTGTCTTATTAATATTCCTTAAAGGCTGGCAGATATTTTGTATAATGTAACTTTCATAGAAAATCTTTATACTTCGTCCGATACGATCGAACTTCAAACTTGATACTCCTTTCTAGCATAGCAGTGAAAGTAAGAAACGGAGCTTTGAACTTAGATACAAACAATACTTCATGTTAGTAAAGTTGTACAGGAATTTCATCTTACTATTCTCTACACCAGAATAGATAACGTCATGAACGCTCGGGAACGTTTTAAAATAGTAGTAGAATGTAACCCATTGCAAAGGGAAGAAAGAGTATGTGCCGAAAAAATATGAAAAAATAAATTAAGCGAACTGAGTTCGGAAAAAGATGGTTGGGCGTTAGAAGAAAAGAAATCGGTTTATCGGGATTTGCGGAAAAACTATCAAGTCCTACTGACAGCTACACTCTCTCATTCTTTTCTCTTTGCAATGGATTTCATTCTACTAATGTTCAATGTTGTTTTAACCTTTTGAATGCACCGATATGAGACACAATAGAAAATACATCGTGTCTCGCGTGGATCTACGTCTTAGACACACGAAAGGTTAAACATTATCTGCACTAGCCTAAACTTTGTCATTTATGAAAAGAGGTTAAGGTATTTTTTTTAAGGGGGGGAAATTATCGAATGGCTGCTCCCGCCTGGGTGAGGCGGGAGGAAGTGTCAGACTCTTACTGACTAAAAACCACCCCGTTCCTTCTCCTGCACGTCGAGCCGGAGCCCCCCGGTAACCCGTTAGGTACTCCGCGACGAGGTTAAGGCAGGATTTCCCCCCATTAAAAAAAAAATACAACACCATATCAATAACTCGACGTTGAATTGAGTGAGGTTTTAGTTATCATTTTATAATTTTCGACTACGAAATAATTTCTCAAAAATATTTTAGTATTGTAATCCTTACTATAAATATATATATATATATTCTTACTAATCCTTACTAATATTATAAATCGAAAACTGAGTTTGTTTGTTTGTTTGTTCCGCTTTGACGCCGTAACTATTAAACCGATTGCTTTGAATTTTTGCAGACGTAAAGTTAGAAGTCTGGATTAAATAATAGGGTACTTTTTATCCCGGAAAAATTTGATATTCTCGAGGGAAAACAAAAGAATTGGTATATGCCACATTGGCTTTTTATCCTTTTGTGACGCGAGCGAAGCCGCGGGTAAAAGCTAGTAATATTATAAATCGGACAGTGAGTTTGTTTGTTTGTTCTGCTTTCACGTCGTAACTACTAAACCGATTGCTTTGAATTTTTGGATTAAATAATAGGGTACTTTTTATCCCGGAAAAAAATTACATTCCCAAGGAAAAACAAAAGTATTGGTATAGATGGTGATGTGTGTATTAGTATATGTCACATAGGCTACTTTTTATCCTTTTGTAACGCGAGCGAAGTCGCAGGTAAAAACTAGTTTTAAATATTTAATGGTTTAAATAGTCTCATCATACGTAGTATATCTTACTATGATATCACAAATTAATGCGAATTTTTTTGGTTTTGTAAGTTTATGTTTGTTACTCTATCATATTGAAACGGCTGAAAAGATCGGAAGCTTTAGTACGAGTTAAACATATACACGTTTAAAGTATTCGAAACGAGTACGCGTTCGGCACTCTGATTGGCCCGCGCCAATGAAGCAACCAATCAGAGCGCCGAACGCTTACTTGTTACGATTACTTTAAACGTAAAACAAACTCGTAATAAAGCCTCGGGATCAAACTTGGAACGTGGGAAGAATACATACACATACCAAAGCTACTTTTTATTCCATGGGTACGCGATCGGAGCCACTGGCAGAAGCTAGTGTTGTAAATAAAGGTAGATTTGTGACTATAATTGTAGGAACTTACTTCAACCTGGGCTATATTTATTATTACATCAGCGTTTGTTAATTCGTACACTGCATTTTTGCGATATTCCGCCATTGTTGGTCCGAGTGCAACCAATGCGTTAACATTTTTAAGATTTGCACTGAAAACAAGACACACAGATAGGTACACTTATTTAGGATAATCTCTGGAATTGTAATCTATTCAGCAGCTGTAGCCAGATGCAATTTAGCGCTTGTCTACATATAGAATAGAAAACCAAATTATATGGAATTGACGTAATAACACTTGTCAGTTCATACATTTAGTTTTCTACTCTCTCTGTAGACAAGCGCTAAAGTGGCGTTTGGCTAAGGGCACAGGTACGTCATTTGTTCAAATATAATAAAGACATCGCTAACCATTATGAAAATTAAAATCTTATTTTGGAAAAAGATTCCAATGTTTACTTAAATACAATTATGCAAATAATAATTGTTATTAAAAAGCAATATATTAAACGACCACGACTAAAAACCTCAAGTAAATCAGGCAATTTTTAAAAAAAAATATATTATTTAAGTACCTCACATGACCATTGACTTTCAAAGGCTTGCCGTTTAATTCTCCGTTGACTGCAAAGTTAACTGAAATAGAAATAAGGAAGCTTAAGTTTTTAAGCTGTCGAGGAACAGAGCGATGACAATGGACAATGGGTAGTTTTAAGTTTTCTTTCAGTATTTTTTTTGTCTTCATTACATGTAACCTTTGCGCTGTGTCTAATGTTTATATTCCTTTTCCTGTCGCAGGGCCGCAGTGATAAACCCCTTAAGGGATATACAGTACCTATGCACCTAATGCTTGTAATGTGTTGTCCTCTGTAATATTGTCTCCTGTATGGTGTACATGCAATAATATTTAAAAAAAGATTAAAATAGTAATTATTACTTTTAAATTAAATTTTAATGAACTAAACAACTAGCTTCACTTATAAATTTTTGTTGTTTGACGTTCACTGGTCTTATTGAAATAAATGATTTTGACTTTGTCTTTGACTTTGACTTTGACTAATGTAGTGAGTTCCGATGTCCCCGCGACTCAGGAGAAAATCCTAGAGTGGTGCAACCTTTAAAAAAAAGATGTTAAAATCCTTACCCTCGGTAGAAATCTGAGCAAAAGAAGCATTAAATTCAATCCTAGAAGGATTCATGCGTACTTCTAGACCATCCAGTACTAAGTTTTTAATTCCATTCACTACAACGTTACTGAGCTGAAGATTGCCCCTGAAATGAAAAAAAATCAATTTAAGCCTAACGCACAAAGTCAATTAAAACGATAAAACGAAAAGGCACTTTAAAGTTCCGGTATCCTTAATTGTAGTCCATGCCAAGTACGGTTACAATTATGCGCCACACACAGAAAATCACCGTGAAAGAACGCTATGAGTGAGGGTACCGGAGGAGGTTAAATTCTCCTTCCCATTCGGCCGGCAAAGCACTGGAACTTTTTTGCTGTTGCGTTAAACAAACCGAATTGTGAAACTGATTCATAAAAAGAGTAACCAGGGAGTTTCTAGCTCGTTCGTTATTAACATCGGAATGTACACTTTGGACCTAACAAATTGTTTCACTAGATACTATAGGCAGACATCCGATTTTTTTAAATATTGTTTACTTTTACCGGGGGTTTTTTTAGTTTACCTAATGCTTTCATTTTGACTTAGACGACTTTCTGGTACTTACTGGAATTTGACCTCAGGTAGACTCACAGGGTAAGGCCCCAAATTGTCAAATACGAATGGATTCAGTAGAGGTAAAGTCTTTAAGAAGGTTACCAAGGTACCAGCCTTGCGCGTCGCATGCTTATCGTCGGCAGTCAACGGTTGGTTTTTCGGCGGTACCTTACCCGTTGCTGTTGTAACATGGATAGGACCAATTACTTCTTGCCCTGTAAAACAGATTTTTTTTAATATAAATATTTTATCTATATGTCGCAGGCGCTGAAGGCAGCAGGCAGGCAGGCTATTGTATAATTTGCCGTATTATACAATACGGCTAGCCATTTAGAAATTCAGAGCCGTTTAGGCATACGGCGACTGTATGATTAGCCGTATTGTCAATGCGACATATTCTACAATATGATGGCACACGTTTAGCCTCATTGTAATTATTATACAATGGACAATCATTATATTTTTTAGTATTAAAATGGAACGTTAATCCGAGATGGCGATACAAAGTTATCAACACACTTCGTCATGGGTGTCGTTTTCATGGTTTTCGAGGATGGTTAAACTGATGTTGCTGTCAAAATATAAATTCAAGATGGTGGCTGCATAAAATTTTCAATACCTACTAATCGTCATGGGTATTGTTTTTATGATCGTCGAAAACGACACCCATGACGTTATCGTCACAGTCTTATGACTATAGTAGTAGTCTTCGATTTCAGAAACGTTCCTCCACCGTTTCCCACGTTTGTGTAGTAACACAGAAAAAGGGCTTTAAAGGAAAGAGAATAATATTCAAATATTGATTACAATGGCGTAAACATACCTACCACAAAATATTTAGAAATCACCAACTTTTCGGTGCATGAAAATTGACAAACATTCCACTGTTTTTCTTTTTTATGGGGATGGATTATCCAGTAAACGAGCAGGTGGATGCCCAAGAGATCCTAATTGTAAGCATTCAGCGAAGTGAAACTGTTTGTGTGTTCTTAGATTCCACTAAGAAATTTCGTTTGTTTTTGGAGAAATGCTGGCCGAACTTATTTCTCAGGAAACCATTTTAGGGAACAGAGAGTATAGTTCCCTAAGATCGGAAAAGGAGGATCCTCCGACCAGGCGAGGTGATCGTGCCTGGCAGGCTTTCTGCCCAACAGTTGCTCGTTGGGATTTTCTATCCGTGTTAAATCGAATGTAAACTTCGCATGTGCGATGTAGGATTTTATGACGTCATCCGTTGACATGTGGCATGCGTCGCCACATCACTCCCTCCCAAGATCAGAGGTCGATCCCGCTGAGACGGCTGTCGATGCTGGAGATGAGCGGTGCCAGAACCAGTGTAGAAAGTCCCTAGTTCCAGTGAGTCGGAACTGTGCCGCTGAGTGCCCAGTGAGTCGGGTGAGCGGTGCAGGGTTAAACTCCAGTGAGTCGGAGAGATGAGTTCGCAGTGTCCCACGGTGAGTCGGGGAAGAGATGCTGCGAGGGTAAGTGCATAGTGGCTGGCGTCTGCGTTTGACGGGAGGAGATGTCCTTCAGAACCGTGTGCAGAAGTGCTGCTGTGCCTAGACGCTGGTGAGGTCGTAGGGAAGAACCAGGCTGCACGACTTCGTTGCAGGCGATGGTGGTCCCTGATGATGCCGAGGATGCTGGTTGGCTGCAACTTGATTACCGCTCAGCGGAGAAGTGATGAACGAGAGGGATGGCGATACGGATGACGGTGCTAATTTGCTCCGTGAAGTGAAGGTTGCTTCCAATCACGTCGGGGTCATCACTTTAGGGAACAGAGAGTATAGTTCCCTAAGATCGGAAAAGGAGGATCCTCCGACCAGGCGAGGTGATCGTGCCTGGCAGGCTTTCTGCCCAACAGTTGCTCGTTGGGATTTTCTATCCGTGTTAAATCGAATGTAAACTTCGCATGTGCGATGTAGGATTTTATGACGTCATCCGTTGACATGTGGCATGCGTCGCCACATCACTCCCTCCCAAGATCAGAGGTCGATCCCGCTGAGACGGCTGTCGATGCTGGAGATGAGCGGTGCCAGAACCAGTGTAGAAAGTCCCTAGTTCCAGTGAGTCGGAACTGTGCCGCTGAGTGCCCAGTGAGTCGGGTGAGCGGTGCAGGGTTAAACTCCAGTGAGTCGGAGAGATGAGTTCGCAGTGTCCCACGGTGAGTCGGGGAAGAGATGCTGCGAGGGTAAGTGCATAGTGGCTGGCGTCTGCGTTTGACGGGAGGAGATGTCCTTCAGAACCGTGTGCAGAAGTGCTGCTGTGCCTAGACGCTGGTGAGGTCGTAGGGAAGAACCAGGCTGCACGACTTCGTTGCAGGCGATGGTGGTCCCTGATGATGCCGAGGATGCTGGTTGGCTGCAACTTGATTACCGCTCAGCGGAGAAGTGATGAACGAGAGGGATGGCGATACGGATGACGGTGCTAATTTGCTCCGTGAAGTGAAGGTTGCTTCCAATCACGTCGGGGTCATCACTTTAGGGAACAGAGAGTATAGTTCCCTAAGATCGGAAAAGGAGGATCCTCCGACCAGGCGAGGTGATCGTGCCTGGCGGGCTTTCTGCCCAACAGTTGCTCGTTAGGATTTTCTATCCGTGTTAAATCGAATGTAAACTTCGCATGTGCGATGTAGGATTTTATGACGTCATCCGTTGACATGTGGCATGCGTCGCCACATCACTCCCTCCCAAGATCAGAGGTCGATCCCGCTGAGACGGCTGTCGATGCTGGAGATGAGCGGTGCCAGAACCAGTGTAGAAAGTCCCTAGTTCCAGTGAGTCGGAACTGTGCCGCTGAGTGCCCAGTGAGTCGGGTGAGCGGTGCAGGGTTAAACTCCAGTGAGTCGGAGAGATGAGTTCGCAGTGTCCCACGGTGAGTCGGGGAAGAGATGCTGCGAGGGTAAGTGCATAGTGGCTGGCGTCTGCGTTTGACGGGAGGAGATGTCCTTCAGAACCGTGTGCAGAAGTGCTGCTGTGCCTAGACGCTGGTGAGGTCGTAGGGAAGAACCAGGCTGCACGACTTCGTTGCAGGCGATGGTGGTCCCTGATGATGCCGAGGATGCTGGTTGGCTGCAACTTGATTACCGCTCAGCGGAGAAGTGATGAACGAGAGGGATGGCGATACGGATGACGGTGCTAATTTGCTCCGTGAAGTGAAGGTTGCTTCCAATCACGTCGGGGTCATCACTTTAGGGAACAGAGAGTATAGTTCCCTAAGATCGGAAAAGGAGGATCCTCCGACCAGGCGAGGTGATCGTGCCTGGCAGGCTTTCTGCCCAACAGTTGCTCGTTGGGATTTTCTATCCGTGTTAAATCGAATGTAAACTTCGCATGTGCGATGTAGGATTTTATGACGTCATCCGTTGACATGTGGCATGCGTCGCCACATCACTCCCTCCCAAGATCAGAGGTCGATCCCGCTGAGACGGCTGTCGATGCTGGAGATGAGCGGTGCCAGAACCAGTGTAGAAAGTCCCTAGTTCCAGTGAGTCGGAACTGTGCCGCTGAGTGCCCAGTGAGTCGGGTGAGCGGTGCAGGGTTAAACTCCAGTGAGTCGGAGAGATGAGTTCGCAGTGTCCCACGGTGAGTCGGGGAAGAGATGCTGCGAGGGTAAGTGCATAGTGGCTGGCGTCTGCGTTTGACGGGAGGAGATGTCCTTCAGAACCGTGTGCAGAAGTGCTGCTGTGCCTAGACGCTGGTGAGGTCGTAGGGAAGAACCAGGCTGCACGACTTCGTTGCAGGCGATGGTGGTCCCTGATGATGCCGAGGATGCTGGTTGGCTGCAACTTGATTACCGCTCAGCGGAGAAGTGATGAACGAGAGGGATGGCGATACGGATGACGGTGCTAATTTGCTCCGTGAAGTGAAGGTTGCTTCCAATCACGTCGGGGTCATCACTTTAGGGAACAGAGAGTATAGTTCCCTAAGATCGGAAAAGGAGGATCCTCCGACCAGGCGAGGTGATCGTGCCTGGCGGGCTTTCTGCCCAACAGTTGCTCGTTAGGATTTTCTATCCGTGTTAAATCGAATGTAAACTTCGCATGTGCGATGTAGGATTTTATGACGTCATCCGTTGACATGTGGCATGCGTCGCCACATCACTCCCTCCCAAGATCAGAGGTCGATCCCGCTGAGACGGCTGTCGATGCTGGAGATGAGCGGTGCCAGAACCAGTGTAGAAAGTCCCTAGTTCCAGTGAGTCGGAACTGTGCCGCTGAGTGCCCAGTGAGTCGGGTGAGCGGTGCAGGGTTAAACTCCAGTGAGTCGGAGAGATGAGTTCGCAGTGTCCCACGGTGAGTCGGGGAAGAGATGCTGCGAGGGTAAGTGCATAGTGGCTGGCGTCTGCGTTTGACGGGAGGAGATGTCCTTCAGAACCGTGTGCAGAAGTGCTGCTGTGCCTAGACGCTGGTGAGGTCGTAGGGAAGAACCAGGCTGCACGACTTCGTTGCAGGCGATGGTGGTCCCTGATGATGCCGAGGATGCTGGTTGGCTGCAACTTGATTACCGCTCAGCGGAGAAGTGATGAACGAGAGGGATGGCGATACGGATGACGGTGCTAATTTGCTCCGTGAAGTGAAGGTTGCTTCCAATCACGTCGGGGTCATCACTTTAGGGAACAGAGAGTATAGTTCCCTAAGATCGGAAAAGGAGGATCCTCCGACCAGGCGAGGTGATCGTGCCTGGCGGGCTTTCTGCCCAACAGTTGCTCGTTAGGATTTTCTATTCGTGGTAAATCGAATGTAAACTTCGCATGTGCGATGTAGGATTTTATGACGTCATCCGTTGACATGTGGCATGCGTCGCCACACCATTTTAGATAAAATATATTCAATGTCTTTTTCATCAATTATTATAATAAAAATTTTAAATGCATAATTGGGATTCGGCAATCCTTACTAATATTATAAATCGGAAAGTGAGTTTGTTTGTTTGTTTGTTCCGCTTTCACGCCGTAACTACTTAACCGATTGCTTTGAATTTTTGGCAGAAGTAAAGGTAGAAGTCCGGATTAAATAATAGGGTACTTTTTATCCCGGAAAAATTGATATTCTCGAGGGAAAACAAAATTATTGGTATAGATGGCGCTGTGTGTATTGATAAATGTCACATAGGCTTATAGTCCTTTTGTGACGCGAGCGAAGCCGCGGGTAAAAGCTAGTACTAAGATAAATAAAACATAACTTGCGACCGACTTCAATATTCGATTTCGGTTTATCTTTATATTGTGGTTGATTTTTGACATTGGTTCTACAGGTTTCTGTTAAAAATCAAGATCGATTCAGACATTTCGTACTAAAATCGGTTATTGTAATCGGTAGCAAATCAAATCATACATTTCCAAAAAACTTTTTTAAAAAGAATGTTACTTTTTATCTACTTTCTATGTTAATAAGTACTCACATGCTTGAACTGAATAAGCGATGGTCAGGACGATTAGGAATCTCTTCATTTTCGTATCAATAATCCTTTACCACTGCGTGCTTTAGAAAGCATTCATTATATATATCAACACGCGCAATCATTTCCTTAATTATTTCTTTGTTGTCTTCATTGGTCACAAGAAATTGATTTTTCACTGGATAACCTAAACAATGTAGCATTATCGTATCCATATCTAATAACTACTTGTATACGTTATTGGTACACGGTTTCTATACTCAATAAAATGGTTGTTTACGATGTAAGTTTCTACGAAGCATAAGTAAATATTCATGATATATGTATACGTAAAAATGGTACTTTACACTCAACGAGATTATAAACATTAATTTCTTTATTATGTGTAACTATTTAAAGGTTGCAGTCGTTTGTTAATTATTTAATAACTATCTTCAATTTATGATTCTTTATTATTGATATTAATCATACGGAGAGATTGGTCGTGAAAAATCTGCTATTAAGTGAAGTATACGTTGGGTGGAATAGTGCGACGTTGCCAGACTGGTGGACATGTCTGGCAACACCAACATCGCTGTAGACTTGAAGGCTCCTACTCACAGTGCCGGCGGCAGGGCCGCCGGGTAAGCCGCTGGCCAAGCCGCCGTGCACCCGGCGGCATACAAAGGAGCCGCCGGCAAGTAAAACATTTTCACTTTACTAGCGTTCTATGTGACTGTCACAACCGGAATGATGCTTGACGGCTTTGTGCGGCTTGTGCCTTGTATTGCCGGCGACATAGCCGCTCGGCATGAACCCGGCGGCATTGCCGCCGGCATGTGTGTAGTAGCCTTAAGGCGCGCTTTGTCGCCTTATGTCGGGCGAAATCGGCAGACTTCACTAGACATATCGCCGATACATGGCGTGGAACATATTTTGTACCCTAGTGTAGGTATCCTTGGGTTTAATTTTGAACGTGAAACAACGTGAATATTAAAAATGGTGGATATAAACCTACTTACAGTTTTGTGATAAACGAAAACACAGTTTTGAACGGATTATATACTATGTATTTTAAAATAAAGTTTTGACTTTACTAGGTACGGAAAGAAAACGTCGAAGTAAGCAGTCGACTACATTTCGTTGACTGACTTAAAAATACGTTTGGAAATATTAAACGTAGTAAAGCGTGGAAAACATAATATGTATTACACGTCTCCTTAATATTAATTGGTACATAATCCCGTAACGAATTAAAACACATTATTACTTATAAGTAAAAGTATAAAAATTCTGCAGACTAAAAAACCAAAAGTTTAGTAGGATTATAAGTTATCATACGACTTTCTTCAACCACATACCTAATAGCTAATTTAAAAACAAAATTGTACAAGTAGTAGAGAGTGCTTTGATCACTTTAATTTAATTTCCCTGATCAGTTATTAATATCGGACGTTATTCTCGATGCTGTATTGTCGTGTTACAGCCGAGTTGGTGAAACTGTCTGTCGAACTCTACCACCTCCTGAGATAATCCGGTTGCTTAATTTCAAAATATAATTTAAGGCTTAAAATACAATTTTACAGGGGAATGCATAAACGTAATAGGGTAGTCTATGAAAAGTATTTGTGATCGATCATAAAAAATACTAAATTAAGTAATAATAATATTACACATAGTACCTACTAGCAAAATTATGATACTCGTGTTTATTACTTATTTTATAGTTGCTCAATTAGGTACAATCTAGGTTGATAATTTGGCACGAGGTAGAATTTTCAATTTATTGTTCATATACCTACCTATTTAGTTTTAAGTCATAGTGAGAATTATGAAACTTAGCATATCTTAGACTAAATTCTAGTAACTGCATAGAATATATGAATAATATAATGATGATGCGGATTTCAGAAAAGTGTTTGTTACACTTAGGAGAAGTTTTTAGTATATTAATTTACCGACTTAAAAAAAGAGGGGCTTAAAGTTGGTTTTATAAATGTAGTTTATAAAAGAATCATGTTATTTAATATGTATGTATTAATTTTGTGGTGAGTGTTATGAGACATTTTTATTAACATTAGCTTAAGTTTGTTGTTTTATAACTTTATAAGTGAAGACTTTGTTATTGGTTTCACACACAAGTTTTTAATTCTTGTTTTGTAAGCTGTCTTTTAAAGTTGTTAAATAAAATAAATAACTACAATTTTAAGTCTGGTCAGAATATAAAATGAATTATATCTATAGCAGTTGAGCTTCGCCTAACCCTTGCGTTGCAAATACTTAAAATATGTTTAATTCATAAAAGAAAGCACAAAAAAGAAATAGTTCTGACTTATTTTTATTTATTACATCAAATCACAACCCATGTAGGTGCACGTTGTCAGTTGCATGTCAGTTGCATGGTCATAAGGTATATGAGCCCAAGCGCACGAAAGCTTTTCTAACGCCACGTTTAAGCGTCGAAAATGCAACACTGCTCGATAAAAGTACCTACCTGTTGCATATTAAGCGCTGGATCTGATGAACATTGAACTAGATAGATATACTACTACTAGCAGAGCAGATGCCTATTTAGTACTTATTTACGTCAATTAAAAACAAATATGTTAATGAAGATTAGATATGAATATTTAATTATGTATTCATGTGGGCAATCGATAAGATAGGGCTAAAGTAAAATGACCATAAAATTGTACCAAATTATCACAAATTAATAACCGCCATACCTATGTAAAATAATAAATGTAAGTACATAATTACAGAGGATTGTGATGAGCGTGTGAGGCCTCTATTTTACAGTGGAGTGACACGTGTCTAGCCATCGTTTAAATGTAATTGTAAGCGCTATACAGTGTGTCGCGGAGAACCTAACGGGAACGGGTTACCGGGGCCCCGGCTCGTCGTGCAGGAGAAGGAACGGGGTGGTTTTTAGTCAGTAAGAGTCTGACACTCCCTCCCGCCTCACCCAGGCGGGAGCAGTCATTCGATGATTTCCCCCCCTTAAAAGAAAAAAAAACGCTATTCATGCAACATCATCCTTGAGCAGTTGATTACAATTATTATTACATAATAGACATATACAGGTGACTTGTAACTCGACATATAAATAATTTCATGTTTTTGGGTAGCTAAAAAACCAAGGAAGTTTATCTAATACTTTGTATGCATACATACATAACATCACGCCTTTTTATCCCCGAAGGGGTAGGCAGAGGTGCACATTTCGGCACTTAATGCCACTGTACAATGTAACACCCACTTTTCACTATTTATGTTATAAGTCCCATGTAATAGGGGGTGAGCCTATTGCCATATACCGGGCACATTTCCAGACTCCGTGCTACTACTGAGATTTTTTTTAAACTCAGTAATACTTTGCCCGACCCTGGAATCGAACCTGAGTCGCATTTGCGACCACTCGGCCAACGAGGCAGTCTTATATACTGTGTATGCTTAGTGTAATATCATTTTTTCAAGCTAAATGCAGTTTTCTATTGACCAAATTAGTAACTCAAAACAAAATTTGATTGGTACTAATTGACTTGCTATTTTAAAACGAAGTATATTTCGGCTAGTATTAGTATTTTAATAAATGTTTATTGATGTATTGGCAACAAGTTAAAATTACTTAAATCAAACCAGTAGTTTTTTATTTATTAATGTTTTTGTAGGTCGGTCGGATTTGTTCACCAAAACCGAAAATGTTGAATATCTCAGAAACTAGCCACTTTCGGACTTTTTTTTTTTAAAGGGGGAAAATCATCGAATGACTGCTCCCGCCTGGGTGAGGCGGAAGGGAGTGTCAGACTCTTACTGACTAAAAACCACCCCGTTCCTTCTCCTGCACGTCGAGCCGGAGCCCCGGTTACCCGTTAGGTTCTCCGCGACTCCGAATCGGCATCGGCTCTATTGGGCCCCATCTGTGGTGGTCTGATGGCTCTTTGAGGCGCGCGCGGAACGCTACGCGCCGTACGCTCGGGTCAGTTTCTGGTCGGACGGGGAGCCACCCATGCTCGCCGTCCGCAGTCCCGCGCTTACGGTGGCCGGAGATCGTCCCGCGATCCCCGACGCCCGGTGTGCAGTGCCGTAACTAGCCTTCTAGGCGCCCGGTGCGAGCTTTCAAAACTGCGCCCTTGAAAAATGTCCTTACCAGGCTCTGACAATAAAATGGACAAATGTGCATGAAAATATAACTGTTTATTGTTTACCAAGTTATAGGTCGGTACTTAGTAGATGTTTAAAGACAATTCGTTGCTGCCATTCCGCCATGAGATCGCGCCGGAGCTCTTCCCCCCAAGCAGTTATCTGACCTCATTGTCAATGTCGGCAGGCCAGACCGGTGGTATCACCCAGGCCTGCACGATAGCGGCTTCCTGGAGCAGCTCCCTATCCAGCTGTTTCAGCGCCCAACGCGGGCCCCATGGGGCCTGTCTGACCGGCGGGTCCGCGGACTCGGCGGAGACGTCGAACCGGATATACCGGTGGTCGGAGTACGTCTCCACCTCCTCCATGACGCGCCAGTCAACGATACGCGGTGACAGAACAGGGCTGGCGAACGAAATATCCACCACCGACTCGCCCTGCATCCGCACGCACGTGGGGACAGAACCCCGGTTCAGGATGACTAGGCCTGCCTCAAGGGCCCAGTCTTCCACCATCCTACCCCGGACGTCGGTAAACCGGGAACCCCAAGCCAAGTTCTTGGCATTGAAGTCCCCGAGGACGAGCACGGGGAGGGAATAGAACCCAACGACGACGGTGACCAACTGTCTCAAGGAGTTGTGGAATTCGGCGAGAGTTCGGTTCGGAGCTTTCCGAACCGTGCTGCGACACAATCCCGGCCTCTTTGAGCAGCCTCAAGAGTCGGGGTACCGGCGGTGGCCGACGAGATGATGGTCACCGAGCCGTCCAGGTCCGCCACCCAGTGATCCCTGGGCGGGACAAAGTACGGCTCGGAGACCACGGCGACGTTTATGGACCACTGCACCATGCTCTGGAGCAGGAGATCCTGAGCAGCGGCGCAGTGGTTGATGTTCGCCTGGAGGAGGCGGAATGGAGCCATTATTAACAGTCCATCCTGACCTCCTCAGTAGCGGCAGCAGTGACTGCGGCGGCAGTGGCGGCGGCGGCGGAAACGACAGGGGCGGCGGAGGGCCTTCCTTTGCCCTTGGGTTTGGCAGGAGGGGAGCTCCCGACCCGGTGATTGGGCAGCTTGCCAGCCTCCGCACATGCGTTGCAGTGCAGCGGGGCGGTGCACGAGCCGGTCTTGTTACCGGGCCGACCGCAGCGGAAATAACAGTCGCTGTGGTCCACCTCCGAGGTGCATTTGGCGCTCACGTGCTCCCCCACGTGACAGCGGTAGCACCTCAGAGGCCGAGTCTCGAGCAGCTTGACCTTTTGGCCGCTGTGACGGGGCAGCTGACCACAAACGTGCGCAGCCCCGAGTTGTCTGAACGGATGGCGCCTGCCTTGATTTGGTCAGCAGGGCACCCTCCCGTCCTGGCCACAGCGGCCACCACCTCTTGCTCCGTTACGGAGTCGTCCAAGCCCAAAATTCTGACATCCAGGTATTTGGTGGGCCTCGTCCACACCGAGGCACGCCCTAAGCCTCTCAGCCAGGGTGTCGGCCGATGGGCCACTGGCCGCACCGGGACCCTCCAGAAGACGGACTCCGGTAGCGGTCACCTTGACCGCAAACCCGTCTGGGGCCCCAAACTACGCAGGAGTTACCGCCCCCTTGAGCTTGGCGACAACGTCGCCGTAGGTAACGCTCCTATTGACCGCCTCGAGCTGCAGTGTAATTACTACAGCCGCGGTCCTAGGGGCGAGGAGCAAGGCAGCTTCCCGTTTCTCCCTGCGCTGCTGCTGCCGTCGCTGCCGCTGCGCCTTCTTGCGGCGCTTACGGCCCTCCTTGGCGACTCTCCTCGCCTCACCAGCCACCCGCCGCCGTCCTCCGCTCGCGGGGCGGGTTACACCGCCGCTGCTGCAACTCCAGCCTGCCGGGATGGAGTGGCTCTCCTTTTTTGTTTCGCTCCGAGGCCGCGGGCGCCACGAGCATAGACGCCGCGCTGCCGGCGCAGCCGGGGTCGGAGGCGCCGACGCCCAAAGTTATAGTAGGTTAGATAGGTACTTTTGTTTGTGTATGTATTATTGCGAGCAAGACTTAAAGTGGATATAACTACATTTGTCTGATGTGCAGTGAATCGTTTGAAATGTGTTGTTAATTCAAGATCGTTTAAAAATGTGATACAGATTTAGATAGTACAGTCTGGTCATTTCTGCGCCCCTCCAGGGTCTGCGCCCTGTGCCTGGGCACCGCTGGCACCGCCCTATTTACGGCGCTGCCGGTGTGTCCTTCGCGATGGCTGGGTTGCGAGGAGGCAGCGCTTCGCTGCCTCACGCGTCCCGCCTCCTCCTTAGCTAGCATGACTGCTTCGCAAAAGGAGGAGATGGCATCCCAGTCCCCCTCGCTCCGCATCATGGCCTGCACTAGGCCTGGACGCGAGAGGTCGCCATCGCCGATCACTTCCCTGAGGGCACGGCGGTGCTCAGCCCACGCAGGGCATTCCGCAACAGTATGTTCCACCGTGTCCTCAGGGCGGTCCTCGCAGTGATGACACCCGGGCGTTTCCTCCCGCCCCATCAGACACAGGTACCTCCCGAGACTTCCATGTCCGGTGAGGACCTGTGTCAGGCGGTAGGTGAGGACGCCGTAGCGTCTCTCAAGCCACTCCTCAAAGAGGGTACTTACCGCTGCAATGGCAGCGAGCCCAAGCCACTTTCGGACAAGATACTTCAAAGCTATTTTTGTAGAAAATTAGTTGTATTATCACCTCCCGAGAGGAATACGTCGAGTTACAAGTTACTTTTATGAAAATAAAATTTGTTTTTCCCATCACCTGTTGGCGTTTTTCGGGAGAGTTCCGTTTACACTCTGTATGTATGATGACGTGGGAGAACCATGTTTCGGCACGAATGGGTAGATAGGACCGGAGTACCACGGACTCGGTCTCACAGAAAACCGACGTGAAACGACGCTTGAGTTGAGTTTCGCCGTGTGAGTGATAGCTTACCGGAGTACTCTTTCTACGATAATAATTATAATCAGTCTGAAGTCTTACGTATCACTACATACCCAATGATGGATGACAGCTTTATAATGTAGTAGTAGTCTGTTACGTAATCTTGATCAAAGTGAAACATCTCTGCTGCTAAGAAAGCTAGTTAATCTTGAATTCGGTTTTCAATTAGGTTTGGATAATGAAACCAAATTTATAAAACAACATTTTTCTTATTTATACCCCACACTAGTCATTCACCCAATGTTAACTACTTGTAAACACTCACACATAATTAATTGTACTATTCATTATTCATTTATTGGAATGTTGACAGTTTATTAAATTGTTCACATTGCCGATGTAAGATAAACTGAGTCCATCGTAATAATCCCTGATTAAATTATTTGTTCAATTACTTAATAAGTATCAGTAGTCAGATATTGTTCAAATACATTGAATGGCAGGTTTAAAAGTTCTTTGTTGACTATTGATAGCCCTACACCGAGTATTTTATCGAACGAACTGAGTTCAGAGTTGCGGCGAGTGTCGCTGAATAACTGCATGGCTGGTGGACCGGTCTCTTCCTCAGGTCCGTTGATCTCTATATTCGTTATGTTGACCTGTTGTAAAAACATAAGAAATGTAGCAATTGTATTCCAACAACATTGTTTTCCAGAGCTCTAATAGTTTTCTGATAAAAACATAAGGAAACCAATTACAACTTTTTTTTTCAGCTGAATCAAATGCAAAACTTACATGAATCATCGAGATTCGTGCAGACACGAAGTTCGAAAATAAAGAAACAAAGAAGAAGAAAGATCAATTTCTGTGTGGTAAAAAACACCATTCAAAACTAATACCTCTATTCAGTTTATGGTTTTCTTTAATTACTTATGTCTATCTGTAAGTATTATGTACATTCATACATTCAACTGAACAGTACCTAAATTGGTGGTTATTTGAAAATATAGGTATTGTAAGTATTCAATTACTATGTCATATACCTTAACATTTTGTATGTTGACATCGACGTGAATGCTATCGATTTGCAGCACCACCTCACCTGTGAGTGGTGACCGTATCTTTTTGCCTCCCGTCGTAGCCACCACGTTCAAACCATGTAGGTCTGCACTGATAATATTTTTTTTTTAATTTATTTATCGTATTTACAATAAGTACAGGATTATCAATTTAAAATAGCAACCAAAATCCACTAAGGTTTAAACTTGTGCTATCATGAATCAGTCTCGAAATCGAATTTTATAAAATGAGGTTTTACAAATATATATGTTAATGACGCCAACATTATAAGCAACCCAGGATAAACAAACAGATTCCTAAATAACACTTATATAATTATAATTATACAGTGACAATTTACATTATTGTTCTTCTGCAATCAATCAAATTGTCTATAACGTATGTTTGTAAGAATTAAATGAATAATGAAAAGTGAAAACTAAAAGTAAACTCGATAACGACCTCAAACCAATATTACCTACTACGTACGAGGACGTTGGTGACATTATCATTGCCCCCACGTTTATCAACCACATGTTTAGTCGGAATTTAGACGTATTTCAGCCAGTCAGTTGATTTTATTTTGTGTGTATTCAACTAGGATGTAACAATAAATTCTGATTCTGAATATCGAACCTCATTTTATTAATTAGATAGACTTTGTTTGACTGCCTTGTTGACGGAGTGGACGACCACTCCGTCAAAGTACGACTGCCGGTCAAGGGGTCTCGGGTTCGAGTCCCGAGTCGAGCAAAGAATTACTGGGTTTTAAAAAAATCTCAGTAGTAGCACGTAACAATAGGCTCGCCCTTTATTATATGGGAGTCTAATATAATATAAATAGTGAAAAGTGGGTGTTACATTGGCATTAAGTGCAGTAATGTGCACCTCTGCCTACTCCTTCAGGGATAAAAGGCATGATGTTATGTTATAGACTTTGTTTACTCTATAGAATAGCTTAAGAAATGATGTAACTTGGTTATAATTTTAGGGCTTATTTCATTAAGTAATTATTTTATGTACCTACAATTAATCGAATTGACAATGAGACAATCAAAATGATGTGGAATAAGTAATCTACTAACCTTATATGACACTTTAAATATAAAGGCACAAAAGTTAAATATGCCTGCAGGTAAAAGTCACCTGAAATAAACAAAAAAAAAATTGTTAAGGTGGCGTTCCAATTGCGTTACCGGCCTTTTGGGATTAGGAATTTGAGGATTATTGGCGATTCAGGGATTGCCAAGGGGGGGGGGGATTCAAATGTTCTTAGTTTTTGGAAGCATTAATATAGAAGTAGATGACTCAATAAACGAATAAAACTTGAAATATTCATACAAACAGCAACATTTTTCAAGTATTAAACATTAATTTTTGATGACGTCTTAATTTTTTCGAGGTTTAGTAGTGGACTAAACCTCGAAAAATTAGTTTACAGGTTTTTCTACAGGTTTGTTTACAGGAAAAGTTTTTATTATCTTGAATGATACCTAGCTTTGTTTTCAGGAAAAAGGATGGTTAAGCACAGTTTAAAATAAGATAAAATGAAAAAAAAGGTTAAAATAAAAACTTTCTGGCATCTGCAGTGTTTTGAGCCGTAGATGCCAGTGTGCTTCTATTGACAATACTATTTATTAATTTATTTCATACTAGAATTAAAATGTGAATTGGTACTTACTCATTGTACACAGTATCTATAGGCGTGTGCTTAAAGAATTACAAATGATGTAAGTACATTATAGTAAGCGAATAATGCAAAAACTCTTAGTTTTAGACACGTCAACTAAGTTATTGTTATACAATTTATTAGATAGCTAATTAAAAACATTCAAGTTGGTCTCTTCTCTACTCAAGTTTACAAGCCTAACACAAAATTCTCACCTGCGATGGAAATCAAAGGCAAATGAATGATTACATCCGACCGGAGATTGATCATACGCAGCTCCAATTTGTGCAGCTCGAACTGTTTCACTCCAGACATAACGAAATTCTTCAAAAATACCTTCCCTCTGTAACAAATTATATTCAGTAAACACATGTGCTAGTTAGCGCGTTAAATGGCACCAATCTATCGATATATATACACTATATCATCATTAGTAGGTTACTGTACATTGACAGGTATAATATAATTTTGATAACTCGTTCTACTTGAACATTTTCCATTTCTTTTCCAGGTACATCATCAATGGTAAGTACATCATTTTATTTATTGAATTACGAGATGTCAACGAGTTGCATTTTTTGAAGGGTTAAAATCATTCATCTGTCTTAGGTGAGGCGAGAGGGAGAGTGAGAGTCTTACTGACTAAAACCATCCCGGTCCTACTCCTGCACTTCGAGCCGGAACCCGTTAAATCTTTCGCGGCTCCATATCAGCCCTACTGAGCCTTATCTGTGGTGGTATGATAGCTCTTTGAGGCGCGCGCGGGACGCAATACTCCGTACGCTTGGGTCTGGGGGCTTATTTTAAAGTTATGCGTCGTTGTATACGATGACTACAACTCTATACTATCAAATATAAAAAATATATCGAAATGATTTTATTATGTACTTGTACTATCTATCAATCAGCAACTGTCTAAATGACATAATTATTTAATTAGTCTTTCATTTAATTTGATTACCGACCGATAAAAATTGTAAGTAGTCAATAAAATTATGTGAACTTTCGTAATCGATGCTGATGATGATAACAAATTACTTTAGAAAAAGAATATTATCATCATTCATCATCATCATCATTTACGTCTTTCATCCCTAAAGAGTCAAATTTTCGAAAATCGAAAATTATCACAATGTTATGTCAGATCCGGGTTCGGGACTATCGGCTTACATTTCAGACCTTATGATCAAAACGGCATTCCGTTTAAGACTGTTAATGATACCTTAACAGTCCTATAGGCAAAGGTGTTAATATATAGCATTAAAAATATAGGTACCTACATAAAACATTTAAAAGATAATCTAAATAAGTAATCTGTGTGGTAATACATACTTTAGGAAGAGGTAAGAGACATCAATGCCAATTGGCGGTAACATGGCCAGCTCAAACGGATCAATGTTCGGTATAAGCTGTATGAAGTCCATAATATCTGCTGCCTTCTCACTGGCTGTCTGATCTTGTGTAGATAGAGGCATGTACTGTAGCGGCTCGAAGCCAACCCCCCCGGTGTAGTGGATATCACCAAGGTCACAATTGTCTGTAAAATACAGTTAAAGAAAAATAATAGAAAATCATTATATAGGCAATCTTAAGTGGCAAGACACATAGGTAACGTACGTTAAGCATAAGATAAGTGAAAGGGGTGGCAGGTTCAGCATACAAGACACAATCATGGTCTATTTTACTGAACTCTAATATCGTAATATTACACAATATTTTTAAGTAGGTATTTAATCAATTAAATCGAATACCTACCTAATAAGTAATTATCAAATATCATGAATGCACAGGTGTTTCCGTTATCTTCAAAAGTGAATACAATGTGACAGCTGTCCCATGTGGGGGAGTGAACGGAAACTTTAGACACAATAGATAGGTACTTATTTCTTATATCTAAGTACATCATGGTCAAGATGCTGTCAAGCCACCCCCTGAAAGTTTGCCGTAATCCCCATATCATTTACATTGATTTTGATGAGCTATATTTTTATTATAAATTTCTTGAGACATACCTACTAAATAAATTACTATGTTTTTCGTGTTACTCACGTAATTATACGCTGGAAACTTGCTCATAAATATGAGTTACAAGTCATACCAAATGACTTGTAACTAGTCGAGCTCCTCGTCAAATTATTACGTGAGTAAGCCGAAAACATGCCACAGAGGAGTCTGTTACCCGGGTCATCTCATAGGCATCTCTAAATTACTGAACTAGCTGAAGTGTCCCAAAAATATGTATTTTTTATTCATCAAATACCTAACTTATCTTGTTATTTATAAGTACTTAGAAGGAAAACTGTCTAATATTGAAACTCGTGTTGTTTCCTTAATACCATAGATACAATATCACAGAATTCACAGATTATATCGCAGCTTCTTACTTGTAAGTACATACATTAATGACTTTGTAAACGATCCCTATCAGTAGATACAAGAAATGATAAGCTTGTAAATTGATATTCACTTTCTCAGAAAATAATGTTGGGCTTTCTTGGGCCTAATTAATTTCAAAATCAATGTGTTAATACTCAATTTAGATAATTCTCAAATCAGTAACAATCAGAATCTGGTCTGATGCTATTTATAATTTTATTAATCGGTTAGTAATCTGATGAATTAAAATTGATTGATACTATTGCATACGTAGTGCACAAGTACTTTTATTGTTTGGAGTTTTCGAAATTGATAGCATTTTCACATTGTTATAATAAGTATTTAGACGACTTTTATAGGAGGTCCAGCAAACGGTATGACTTCTAAGAGTGGTATGGGTAGATGAAGGGAAAATGCATTACATTCCCATGCGTTTTTTTTTGAGGGGTATAGTCATCCAATTACTTCTCTCGCCCGGGTGAGGCGAGAGGAAGTGTCAGACTCTTGTTGACTAAAAATCACCCCGTTTCTACTCTTACACTTCTAGCCGGAGCCCTGGCAATCCATTAAGTCCTTCGCGGCTCAGTATCGGCATCAGCTCTATTGGGCAATCTGGTAGTTTGATAGCTCCTTGAGGTGCGCGCGGAACGCGACGCGCCGTACGCTTGGGTCTGGTTCTCGTCGGGCGGCGAGTCACCCATGCTAGCCGTCCACAAGCCCGTGCCGGTGGCCGGAGATCGTCCCGCAATCCCCAACGCCTGGAGGGTCTCTCGCGATGGCTGGGGTGTGAGGAGATTCGTTCCCTCGCGCACCCCCCCTCCTCCTTAGCTAGCATGACTACTTCGCAGAAGGAGGAGACTGCTTCCCAGTCTCCCTCGTTCCGTACCATGTTCTGAACTAGATCCGGACACGAGAGGTTGCCGCGGTGCTCAGCCCACGCAGGGCACACCGCCAACGTATGGTCCGTGTCTCCGTGTCCTCCGGGCATTCCTCGCAGTGATGACAGCGAAGCGTTTCCTCCCACTCGATTCGAAACAGGATCCTACCGAAACTTCCGTATCCGGTAAGCACCTGCGTCAGGCGGTAGGTGAGGACGCCGTAACGTAGCCCAGCCCTCGATTGCTGCCATTCAGCCATGAGATCGCGCCGGAGCTCATCCCGCCACGCACTAATCTGGCGCGGCAGCGGGGTTTCGCCCCGGTGCGGCATTCACATGCCTTAGTAAAAATATACACCTTCATATAAAATTGTAAATCACTTCGCTTGAGCTACATGATTGAATTGAAAATATAGACAAAAAAAGATAAACAGTCAAATCCTCGCACTTAAAACTTTTGCATAGTAAATTAAATATACTTTTTTGAGGAGGCAATATCATCCAATGACTTCTCCCGCCTTGAGTGAGGCGCAAGGGAGTGTCAGACTCTTACTGACTGAAAACCGCCCGTTCCTATTGCTGTTTTGAAACAGAGCCTTGGCCACCGCTTCGTTGCCTGCAGTTCTAGATCGCATCGTATACTTACTTGAAAATCACCATTATATTGACAAACAACTTCGTCTAATGCATAGATACTTTTTTCATCTTCTTCAAAGGGCCGATTTTTTAATCAACGGATAAATCTTAACTGTAGATTAAAATTGACCTTTGAATTGTCAAATCTTCAAATCTATTCCTCACATAACTGATGTTGGAAAAATCGGCCTTAAGAACGTAACGAACACATCGCAATCGCATAACTAATTTTAAGCATTAACTATTTGTATTTTTAAACACTCGTTACTTACAAATGTCAACCTGTGTTAGTATGCCCGGCAATGAGTAACAGAATGCCACAAGAAATACTACTACACGCATTGTTACTCCAGAGCCTGACTTCGACTGCGATGTAAATTCGATATAGGTGCACCTGTAATGGATTTATAATACATAGTTGATCATTATCTTCCCAAATAATTCTTATTTTTGTGTTACTAGAACTTCTCACGCTTGTGCACATTCGTTACGAAAAATTGATTTTCCACCCGAATGGGTACTTATTACATTACACGCAATAAAATTACCACAGCCACTGCGTTTCTTAGGAAATTAACGAATAAACGATTGTACGTAGGTACCAAAGCCACTGAAGGTGACAAAATATTAATGGGTAAATAGTCGTTTGGTTATATTATGATGTGTAATTATATACCTACTCATAATACCTACAAGTACCTATTACAAGGATCTAGTAATATTTTTCCATTTATTAAACATAGAACCAATCCATTTCCAGAACTATAGAAAACTGTTTCGCTATAAACAAGAATTAAGATGCGTCTGTAATCAGTTAACTGCGCGACGTTTGATTCGTCGTTTATTGAATGTTTCTACGCATGACTAAAGAGTGGTGTGGTTTAATAATGGTTACCTTGTCAAACAGTTTGGGCCAATAAATATGATTAAACTGTCAAACACCAAGCGGTCACCGGTGACCGCGACCTATTGTTCTTTAATTGTGTCTATAAAACCGGTACTCGACGAGTTAATATAGATAAATCGAAACACTAAAGAATCTAAAGAAGTATTAATAATGTAATGGGGATGATGACAGGGTATGAAAATTAAAAATATAATTAGTCCGTAAGTTAGGTAATGAAAAAATATTAGACACGTATTTTTTTTATTTTGTCGTATAATAAAACAATACTTAGATAAAACGAATCAAAGTTTAGGAGTGGGGGCTAAAACGTCATTTCTTAGTATAAAATGTACTGAGAAGTGACGTCACGCGACATTTCAAATCAATATATCTTCGAAACTATTCGTTTATGTGAGAAAATAAAAAATACGTGTCTAATGTTTTTAAATAATCTATCAGACGGACATTAAAATAAAAATTAGTCGTCTACCCTAATAGGGTTATAGGGCGGTTAAACCTTTGACTAATTCGTTTATAATTGAAGGTTTGCTTTTGGAAATACAACATCACGCCTTCTTAAACACCAAATTTTCACCAGTTGTGTTAAATATAACAGGAAAAGAAAAACTAATTTATCAAGCTTCCTCATGCGTACTACTAAGGAGTGGAATTCTTTGCCAGACTCTGTGTTTCCTGTAGGGTCTTCAAGGCCCGAGTGAATAGGTTGCTTATGGGTCGACGTGCTCCATTGTAGGCCACATCATCGCTCACCACCAGGCGAGATAGTGGTCAAACGTCAGACCCATCTAATATATATATATAAAAGTTTTTTTCATATTTACAATTTTTACAATTTAAAGAGACTTATTGTATCATCATTTCTAAAAGACACATATATATTTCTTTATATTTAAATATTTAGTTTATATATCATAATAATTGATATACATTTAAGTTATACATATTCCAGGTACCTACTTTGTCTACAATACAATCTAAATTATAGAGATATGAAGCAGCTGCGCACAAATCACGGGGTTGATTACAACAAATAGATTGTTTAATCTACATATAAAGAGATTAAGTGATGTTAATTATGATGAATGAAGATAATCGTGCGTGTTTAAATACAAGTGCGAATTACACGACTGGTCAAACTGTAGAGAGGAAAGGTACAAGGTACCCATCATTTTATAAAGAACTCTGTGATTTTATTTATTGACATTTTATTTAAATATTAGTTAAATTAATAATTCACTAAAATGAAACTTTTGTGCCTGGTGTCTTTGTTAGTGTGCGCATTTGCACACGGCGCTGAGGTTGATAATGATATCCTTTCTGCAGGTTAGTTTAAAAGATAATTATAAAACAATACGCTTATTTTGATTTGTGTCTGAGCCTCCAATCGAGTCGAATTGTAAGCTTGATATTTTTATATTATTATAGTGGACCACGTGGAAAATCATCTAGAAAACACCCACTTGCAACTACACTTCTTAGCAAATGAAGAAAATGTGAGCGAAGATGCACCTGCACTTGAATATTCTGACAAACAAACCCGCCTTGTGACTGATGCTATCGCGCAAATGATTGAAGACTTCAGAGATGTGGTCATTAATGGAAACGATGACCTGCCTCCGCTCGACCCTCTCGAAGTACCTGTCATTGGACCCTTCGATTACAAAGCTCCTGCGTAAGTTGATACTGGATTGTCAAAAAAATTATTGAACAATTTTGGGTACATATGAAAAGCGACGCGATGTTATTATTCGAAGTAACTAGTCCTCTTAACAATGCATCATCGTCCACTACTACGGTTGGCACTGTGCTAAAAAACTTTCTCTAAAATCATTCACTGTCTTTAAACTCAGTGGTATGTTAGTTCTTACTCCCAATTCCATTAAAGATCCAAGCGGTACCGTTCAAAAGCCTGTCACAACACATAACAATGTATGTTTGCATTGCAGTACCACCGCCCAGGTGACCGTCAACAACTTCCGCATGGAAGGTCTTCAATGGTACGTCCTTGACAGTATCACGTTCAACGCCATCCGACTGGCTTTTGGGGCGCACATCACTATTCCTTGGATTACTGCCACGGGTAAATATCTTAATCTCGTCAATCCTTAGATTCCGAATCCCCATAGGCTTTCCCAGAATAACACATTAGAGTAAATAAGGGGTCGTAAACAGGTACGTCGCTTCATTATCTTTTTATCCTTAGATTATTGAACCTATCTGTTAATAAACGCTATTAAGGATGGAATTTTGATGAGTCCTTATTAAAGATTTAAAGGCATGATTTAAACATTCACACAAAGATAGGTAGATCGCAGTTATCTAATATCATTAACACGTAGGTTGCTAAAACGTATATCCCTTTGACGTACCTAATCATTTCCGAACAGAAGAAAACAAAAATAAAATTGATAACAAACGATAAAATCTACAACGACTAAGCTCATTAACGTTATAATCCTCAACAGTGTATTCGAATTATAATAATGTTTGTGTCTTATCAGGTACATATGATGCCCGCGCGAGAATCGGTCTCCTGTCCCACAGAGCTGGTGGTAACTTCAGGTAACTTTTAAACCTTAGAAATGGAAATTATCTGTTGAAATGGCTTTGCTTGCATAATTTTTTATTTGTACTAATACTTGAAATATCAGAATAAGCAAATAATGCACTAATTTAAAATATTTACTTTCATTTTGCATTGCATGATGTGCGATTAGGTACTGCTGCTGCTTGGCAAAAATAATGGTTGTTTTTCAAAAGGAGGAATTAATTGCAGCAAACATATTGTAATACCTATTACAGAATATTCGCTCACCGTATCGAGGTCGGTTTGGACATGAGAGTGGGCACCAACCTGTTCGGTGGACATTTGTTTCTACGTGAATTGAACATCAAAATTGATATCCATGACACTCACGTAAGTAATCAACGTTTTCTTAATTACTAACATTGCCCTTAGAATATTGTGAGTATAGACATATTTGCCATTGCATCAACTGTGCAATGTGCATCGTGTACGGTTAATGCAATGGCTAGGCAACTAGTACTTTACTGCGCTACTCGGCATGAACTCGACTCTCGAATGGAACAATAATAGTTCTTTGTGTAAGACATAAATATTTCTCAATTGGGCTTCAGCGTGTTGTGCAGGACAACACAGAAAGCACTTGTCCCAACAATAAGAGTCCACGTTTAAGAAATGGGAGAAAGAGGGACAGAGTGAGAGGTGCATGATATTTCCTACTTAAACTACTAAATATTTTTTTTTATAGATCCAAATCCATGGCATGACTGGATCCAACATCATCAATGGTTTCATCAATGGCATGATCCAGAACATAACACAGGATCTTATCCAATCGGAGATGGAGAATGTTAGTCAAATGATCAGTGAGGAACTCTTTGACGTCATCAACGACGTCCTCAAGGATTTCACCATTAACGATATTATGGGATAGTAAAAAAAAACAATTAAGGAATAAAGGACGGAACTTCAATACTCACTATTATACTTCTTCTGATGAAAATAAATTTGTAATTTAAACATAATTAACTCGTTTCATTTTCCTATTTTAACATAATTTCGGGTGAAACACGGTCAATAAGAGTCTGACACTCCCCACCTCACCCAGGCGGGAGCAGTAATTCGATGATTTTCCCTCTTAAAAAAAAGTGCTGGGATCGACCCTGCGACTCTTCAATCATGCTTGATAACCATTGCGTCAAGCTTCTCAGTATCATTAGCTAAGCATCAATAATTTAAAGTCTGTTTAAATAAATATAAAAAAAGGTATCATAGTAGTCAGATTATTATCAGTACTTCTTTTGTCGTTTTATTTCAAATAAATCGTATTTATTATTTGCCCTCAATTTATACATTTGACGACTACCATCCTCGTGAAATGCCGTCTATAGACTATTTAATGATTGCTTCAAGGTAGCCCGCAAAATGTAAGTCATCTTATCTCTGTAACTTAGAGAAGGCGTACTGGCGTACAACGTCTAGTTTTATTACTAAACTAAAAGTACTAAAATTATATCAACATTTGACCAAGGACGTCCATTTTCTTCGCTTTAACGAGTATTTAGTCGTCTAAACACTATTAGGTACATATACCATTATCGCAAATATATGTTTTACTAAAGTAAGTACTTTGACACCTAATTAAGGTTTTTTTAAGGGGGGAAATCATCGAATGACTTCTTCCGCCTGGGTGAGGTGGGAGGAAATGTCAGACTCTTACCTACCGTTCCTACTCCTGCACTTCGAGTCGGAGCTAGACGTCGCGCCCCGCCTTCTCCGCAGCTAGCATGACTGCTTCGCAAAAGAAGCAGATATCCTAGTCCTCCTCGCTCCGCATCATGGCCTAAATAAGGGTATTTTTGTGTTTTTTTTAGTTTCTTTTTATTCACTGTTTTAGTTGTAGTTTATTTTAAGTTGTATATGTTTATGTAGTTATATCTAATTCCTTCAATGTTTTATTAATATAATATCTAATATCGAACAATAACGTCAGAAAATTAAAATTTCGCGGGTTATCTCAAACCATCCACCTTATACCTACAGTGTGCTAAAAAGACAAGGTACCGACCGAACAAAATTAAAATAACCAGAATAATTGTCGATGACAAAATTATTGTCTATGGATTTATTTATTTTATGCGAGATTTTATGTCTTGCTGTGACATGACATTTGACATTGATTTGACATAAATAAATGTTTGTGAATTGTGACATTAGTGTTGAACGCGATATTATTTTTTGTATAGATTTAAAAACTGAATATTGCAATGGCTGGTAATTTCTGGCAAAGTTCTCATCATCAACAATGGATATTAGACAAACAAGATCTTATACGAGATCGTCAACACGATTTGGGAATACTGTCCGAAGAGGAATATCAAAAAATATTCAACTTCTTTGCTAGCATAATTCAGGTTTTGGGTGAACAGTTAAAACTTCGTCAACAAGTTATAGCCACAGCTACAGTATACTTCAAAAGATTTTATGCAAGAAATTCTTTAAAATGTATTGATCCGTTGCTATTAGCACCAACATGTGTGTTCCTTGCTTCCAAAGTGGAAGAATTTGGTGTTATCTCAAACTCACGGCTAATAACTACTTGCCAAACAGTAATTAAAAACAAATTTAGTTATGCATACGGTCAGCAGGAATTTCCTTATAGAACCAATCACATTTTAGAATGTGAGTTTTATTTATTGGAAAATTTAGACTGCTGCTTGATTGTTTACCAGCCATACAGACCTCTATTGTTGTTTGTACAAGATATTGGACAGGATGACCAGCTATTGACTTATGCTTGGAGAATTGTAAATGATTCACTGAGAACTGATGTCAGCTTGTTATACCCGCCTTATCAGGTAATTAGTTAGTATGATTAAATTGACCATAGCAATTGTTGCATATCCTTTCTGAAGTAAATCTTAATTTTATTCAATGTTTGATTTGTAGATAGCAATAGCTGCACTACATATTGCATGTGTGATGCTGAGCAAGGAAAACCATAAGCCATGGTTTGCTGAACTCAATGTTGACATGGACAAGGTGAGCACTTGTGAATACATTATTTTGTAATCAAGTAACACATTTATTTTGAGTAACATTGTTATTAAAAAAGGAACCATGAATTGCCATACATATATATAACATAGGTATGTAACATAACACCAAGCTCTGAAACAGCTAATAGGACAATATAGTTCTGTCCCTGTCCTAGTCACCGCTGGTCCCTCCCTAGTGTGATATCATGAATATAGTGGTTCCAAAATCAGTTTTATTTCACATGTAACACTAAGACCAAGTTGTGGTTGTCAAAACACGTGGCATCTTATATTTACACAGATAGAGTTGTATATGTTTTTGAGGTTTTGTAAATTAATAGTTCATTGTTTTAACACAGATTTTTATAGTTTTTTAAATGTGACAGTTTCAGGATGCCTCCCACTCTTTTGTCACTCTTTGTCGACCCCCTCGCTCCGCCTCAACATGTGGTGTAATTTATAGATGGCCCCTCATTATATGACAAGGGCACAGATTCACAGTCTGTGGAGAAATAAAAATTGATAATATAAAAACACAGCTATTAGTTTACTGCAAAGGTCTAATTTATCTTAACTGTGCATTTCAGATCCAAGAGATAGTGAGGTCTATCATCAATTTATATGAGATGTGGAAGAGCTACGATGAGAAGAAGGAAATACAAGCTTTGTTAGTTAAGATGCCCAAACCAAAGCCAGCACCCCAAAGATAATACTTACTAATTTTCAAGTGGTCTATGATGATTGTATGAGGCAGATAGATTTTATGGCCAGAGACAAGATAATTATGAAGGATAATTTGTAAGAGGCATGTATAATGGGCAGTATTTAGAAACCTAGAACTGTTTATATTTCTTTTTTTAATCTCATTACATTCTAGTAACTTTTGTTATTTGTTCAAATTGATTAGAATTTAGGTATTCTTTTTTATGGAATGATCAGCGCCGCCCATGGACACCTGCAACACACTTTAACGTCTGAAAAGCTAAAAAATAATTATAAAACTGATCTTGATGACATAATAGTTCCCATTTCCAAACATTATTATTATCTACTAAAACAACATTACTATGTTAGTAAGTTTCCAATAATTCTTGACAACTTGATAGTTGAAATATTCTGATGAATGTTTTATAAAAGATATAGCATTAATATTGTATAAAACTAATATTTTTATTAACAAAACAGAAACATGTAAATAGTTGTATTAACATTAGAAATATGTTCCTACATTCTTGACTGTATTTGTAAAGAGTACTGATTACTATTTGACAATTTATAAGGGTGGTTTGATAAGTCCGTGACTTTTTGAATAAAACCTTTTTTTTGCGGCAATAAATATTATATATTTCTACATAATCACCATTTAGCTCGATACATTTAGTCCAGCGTTTTTCTAATTTTTATATTCCCTCCAAATGATAGGTTTTCTCAAGGCTCTCAAAATACTCGTTTGTGTCGGTAATGACTACTTCATTAGACTCTAATTACCACCCAGCCATTTCTTTAGGTTTGGAAACAGATAATTGTCGCAGGGGATTAAATCTGGGATGGGGTAGCAGTTCCTATCTCAATTCGTTTAGCCATCGGACTAAACAAGTGTGCACACGTGCATTGTCTTGATGAAACAGCACTTTCTTCTTCGCCAAATGCGTTTTTGCTTCAAGTTAACGTCGAATCTGTCCAAAAGCTTTGAATAATATTCGCCGGTGATTGTTTTACCTTTCTCGAGGTAATCAATGCGAATGACACCGCGTACATCCCAAAAAACTGCCATGACCTTGTTGGCTGACAGACTCTGGCCATCTTTGGTGCACGTTCACCCCGAGCAACCCGCTGTTTCGATTGTTCCTTGGTCTCTGGAGTGTTGTGATGTATTCATGTTTCGGTCACTAGTAACAAAACAGTATAAGTGCCCACTGGTGAACAAGGCTCTTCTCATACGGAGAAGGTTTGAGCATTAATCACCACGCTTGCTCCATGCGGCTTGGCGATTACAAACTTATAATTAGAAATTATAAACCCAGGTTTCCTCACTATGTTTTCCTTCACCGTATGTCAGTGGTGTCTAGATCTTAGAAAGTACATATAACTCGGAAAAAGTCACATTGGTACTAGCCGTTGGTAGGTTTCGATCCCGCATCCTCATGCATGAGAAGAGGGCGTCTTTATTAAACCTCCGGGCCACCACGACTGCATGACGTATTAAATTTTGCTCAATATTTGATAGTTGCCCATTGAATAGATTACAGTTGACGGCAGCGCTGTTGCATTTGGAATAACTGCGTAGGAAATTCAAAAAGTCACTGACTTATCAAACCGCCTAAGTATTGACTAGTACCATAATTTTAAGTGGAAAAGTTAGTTTTTAATTAAACTTAATATTTATTATTTAAGTTTAATGTGTATGTAAACATAACTGGGAAACTGTATTTAAGGCTTTGACTGCCAATGAAAACAGTTGAAGGCAAATCCTCCGTTAACGTCGGTCAACGATGACCCCTATGGCGTTTAACGTGTTAATAGATATTGTAATTATTATTTACTTACTTTAAAAAACCTTTTGTGTTTGTCAAAGTCATGGTCTTTTTAAAATAGTAATAAAAAAGACCATGAAAAACCATACATGTATGGTCTTTTTTATTACCATGTTCCATTCAATACAATAGTAAAATAAAGCCAAGAGGTTACATTTAAAAAAAAAATAAGACAATTATAATGGTATTTATTGTTGTTGGCCACAACTAGATATTGTAAAAGAAAATTAGAGTTGAGAAATATCGCAAACGGTGGCCTTTATTCACACTACTTTATAATATTTGTAATATGCCTTTTATTTTGAAAATAAATATTTTTCAAACAGAGCCTAATTTTATTCAATTCACCAAATGTGTAGTTTCATTCTACTAAACTCAATAATCGTCATTTTTAGCTTCGGACCCCCAGACTTATAGCTAACGTAAGATAAATATCTCAACACTAAACTATCTCAAAAAAATTATAATTTGTATTCAACTAAAAGTTATCGCCAAATTAACTGTCAAACACCAAGCGGTCACCGGTGACCGCAACCTATTGTTCTTTAATTGTGTCTATAAATACGGTACTCGACGAGTTAAGTTAAATATTTAAAAAATGGGTCCATTCCAAGCCTAAGTCACTCCTACCTTGCCTTTTTAGCCAGGATCTAGATTAGGAGATATTAGTTATCTATGTTTTCAAGTCTAATATTAGATTTAGTCCTAATTATTAGGCCATTCCTAAATAATGTATCTTGAATTGGTTAATAGGTAGGTATTCTCCAGAATGCCAGTATTGTGTACAATAATGTAGGAACTCTGTAGAATATCTACATAAGTTTAAAATTTAAATGGCTCATTCTTGTCCAAGCTCGCTCCCACCCAGTGACTCGATTTATCTATCTATAGGTAGGTATTTAATTAAGAGGATACCTAGGTAACTTACACATTATCATAGATATCTAGTTTCGTGCGGACTGTGTCCACAGTAGGTACCTAATGGTTTCCGTCCGTACGGTGCAGTGTCAAATTATGATACCTGTATGCATAATTATAAATGAGTGCAACCAAGTAACGGCTTATTGTATATGAGTACAATCATAACAACTCCGATCTTCTCATATCAAAACAATAGCTGGCCATGTTATTGAAGTGGCCATATTCTGTGGGTATTAGAGGACGGATTTTAAAATTTTACCAGCACCAGTTATCACCGACAGTAGCATCAGATTTTTTCATCGTGGAAGTTACTGTAGTGGCTTCTAGTCAAATCACACATCCTAATGAAAATAGGTATTTTAGGTAGGTACCTACAGCTCCAGAAAGTTTGTTAAGAGTAAGCCGGTTTCTGCAGGATTCTAAGGTTCCTTTCTGCTTATTCGTGAAGTGTCAGCAATCTAGTTCCCAATTGTAAACAACAGTAGAACCTACACCTCCTCATAAGAACTCAATTTTATTGATTTATGTCTCATGAAATGCATGTCCTGAAATGAATGCCAGACAGTGTGGACATTGTATAATTCGGTGAACATTGTAAATACCAGGCTATATAAATGTTGTGGTATCCAAGTTGTCGATCAGTGAAGTTGTCGCCGCCGCAGTTAACATGACGTCCAGGGTACTGCTGTGTGACCTCTGCGTCATCCTGCTCTGCGGGCTCACTCTGATATTGGCTGAAGAGAAAACTAACAGGTATCTGCGTTAATTTAACAATTTACTTAATCATTTTACTTTTTTTACCAGCTGGAGTCAAGACTCAATCACTAGGTATTTAAAAGGATTGAAAGTAATCTTAGGTTTTATCCTAATTCTTACCATCTTTGTACCTAACTCTTCTTTGTTCACAGTTCACCACTGCCAGACGATGGTCCAAAGGGTAATTGTTCGTGCGGAGGGTTTCCATCAAGCACAATAGATCCAGGAAGTCAGCCAATCCTGTCACAGACCCCCGGCTTGGTGGTGAAGTGTGACGATGAGGGCGCTAGCACCTGTAAGAGCCTTTGTAACGCCTTGGCCACGGCTACTAAGGCGAAAGGACCTGAGGTGTTGTGCAATAGGCTTAAGAATGCAAAGGAATTAAAGGTAAACGTTGAATAAAAATCAGATCTAAGCTGAACGTGCAGTATCAACAACGTAAAAGTGATGTACAGGTATTGTTCAAGACTATAATTGCATGAAATTTTTCATTACTATTTATTTTTTGCAGTTATCAGCCTTCTATCAAATTTGCGATCATGCGTGGACGTTCGCAGACATGACAGCGGATGAGCCGCTTTGCTGTGAAGAATCCAAAGTAAAGACTTGCCCTTCCATGGAGAAGGCAAACTCTACAGATACAATCGACGCTAAGACAGTAATGTAACGCGTCCATTGTTATGTACTAACTTAGTCCTTCATTTATTATAGTAAATGGATTATACTCATAAGATTTTGTTGTTTTAATTATATCTGACATTATCTTACCCGTAGTTTCTATTTAATTAAGTGGTTAACGGATACAAAATAACAATCAAAACAAAGGCATTTAACATAAGCTAGTAACCGCTTTTAATATTTTGAATATTTTCATTGTTGGTTAATTAACAGCAATTTCTGTAATGTCGTGCTACAGTCGCGGAAGGTTCCGCGTATAATTAGAATAAAACACAAAATAAGGGTAAAATCGTATATTTACAACTAGTTTCTGCCATGTATGTTTAGTTTTGTACATTTTTCTTGTTGAACCAGAAGAATCATTTTCATTTGTCGAATACGCGGCGAAGCACACTGATTTACATAATAATAATTACCTACATAAAACAAAATTTAAAACATTGATTTCGAAATAAAAGGAGGATATGCGGCCAATGTGACAAGAGAATCAAATATCAAAGGACTCGAAATTGAAAATAGCTACACGCACTATTTCATTCAGAATGAATAATTATCTTTTCTAAAACTATTAGTTGGATAATTTATTTTCAAGGAAATTAAATGTTTTGAAATACAAACTGTATTGGTAGAACGGTGTATATCCAACTTGCGTACCTAAGTATTTGTTATTATAATGCATCGCGAGTTAAACAATGGTTTGGGAGCATTTAATTGGCTACACGGCGTTGCCAAAGATAACAGGTGTGTTAAATTAATATAAACATATTTTGGATTTCTGTCACTATTGACCGCGCAAAAAGAGATACATAATGTTCATAAAAACCTCAATCCATAAGTATTTGTGACAAACATTTACAATGTTACATTAAAAATACTAAACTTGTGTATAATATAGTTGTTGTTACAATAGCATTACATACTTCGCCGAATTTAATATGTCCTTATTTAATTTAATTTAAGTGACATTCGTCCGTTGTGCGAGTGCTTGGAGGGCTAAACCAAGGCATGAGCCTGTCAGTGCTAATACATTAAGTCCACGTAGCCGTGTTTCACTAAAATAATATTATGCAATGTACGCGATCGTAACATACGTCAGAAGAAACATCGTTTACCACAGTAATTTCCTAAACGGACATAAAACTAAAAGTTCATACCTCAGTAAAATTCAGTTAAGTAACTAAAATAATGTTCAGCTTAATATTATATTTCACTTATTTCATTCCGCTTTGTATAAAGGACGTGTGCTACATCAAACACACATAAAACAAATTATCATAATTTATAATTAGATACAATATACTTTAAGTTTACGAGTCGAAAGACTGGGCATCTAGGGTGCATGAGTACCATTGAAAATAGTCATATCATTAATGAGACTGCTGTTATTTTAACAATTTTATAAATTAAATCAATTCTCGAAGCACCTAAATGGTAAACAGCTAGAAGATTCCAGGATTTTATTGCACAAAGAACATATTAATTAAAACAATGAAACAATCCACTTTAAAGATTAGGGATTCATCAAAAACTACACATTTATTTCAAAAGTAAGAATTTGTTGGTAAGTTTGTATGAAAATATATTGTTCTACCTAATTATTTTCCTTACAAGTGCCTTGTACAAATTCTGTAAAAATTGTACATATCAAACAGTAGATCAGATCACTGTTTGTTGATGACAAAATTATGTAGAACAAGTCCTTACATTTACATACCGAACTGGTATAAATCTACTATTTCCTCCCAGTACCTCTATAAATATTTAGCTTCTCCTCTGGAAAACCTACAGTTCAGGTCTTGTGCTTTTTTAATGATGGATTTCTTCTGGGCTTCATCGAAACGGTTTACTTGAAGATCCACGTCTCGACTGAACGGACGACGCTCCTTTTTGCCGTCTTCTTTCTCGTCCTTCTGTAGTGAAAAAGGTTTGGTTAATTTTTTTCAAGTGTTTAAGTTTTTCAAGTAAAGATTTCTTATTTCTTGATTCTGATGATTCGTACACTCAAACTTAGAGAGGACGGAAGATTTATATTACTTATAAGTATAGTTGTTTGGGCATTTGTTGAGTGTATATTAACTACACTGACTATAGTAATGGCAATCTCTATTTTAGAAGACAGACTGTAAGCAAATGAGATTACCAGAGGAAACTACATCACTATTTGACTGTAGAAATAATATGAACATATTCTATATTTTAAAATTACAAAATATGGTATAAATTACCTTTTTCTTCTTTTTCAATTTCTTTTGATGTAAATCTAGGAGGCTTTCTTCTCTCTTGTGTTTCTTTTTATGTTTTCTGTAATAAATAAAATAATCGTTACTTAATAATAGTTACAATCTGAAAATTGATTTATTCATCAAAAAAAGGTTTTGGAAAGTTGTAATAATATTCACTGCTCAATCAGGAACTGTTCGAGGATACTCGACAAGTTTTGAGTCAAACTAAGGCTGATAACCTCAAATGACATTGCACTACACAATATTGGACCCGTTAACACATTGGATGCCGTGTCGGACAATGATGTCCGACGCTAGCGGAGGATTAACCCTTTAACAGTTTTTATCGGCAGCCAAAGGCTTAAGCAAAAAAGATCCAGCCCACATTTTATTACTTTTGAGTAAATGAAGTTTAAAGTAAAAAGAGTAAATAAGATTTTTTTTATTATCTGCCCAACATTAAACTTCATTTACTCAAATGTAAATAAAATGTAGGCTGGATCTTTTCTGCTTAACAGGGTCCAATTAGAATCCAATTGTGGAATTTTATTAAAATATCAAATTAAAAATATTCTATACATCGAATATAACAATAGAGAATATCTGTAGATAAAGCAGTGAAATGTCTTTCCGATACGTACTTGACGGCTGCTTCTTGCTCGTCGTCCCTGGAAGCGATGTGGCGCATCCTCGCTTCTTGTTTTAAGGACATTTCCACATCTTCTTCTTTCACAAGTCCAGCTGCTTTCCTTGCTTTCTCTTCTGGAGTGTCTGTCCAACTCGACCTGTGAATACAACCAACTGTTATTACCTATCTTTCTTATATGCAGGACATGTAAATATTTAAAGAATCCCAAGGGACAGCTGGCGTACATAACTACGTATTATGCACGGATTGTAAATTAATGAATTAATTATTATTACTTTTCTAGAACGAAAATAAATTTAGTAAGAAAATGTACCTGTCCGACATGTCAGGGCCCTCCTTAGCTCTGAAGCTACGTGCCTCCAATCCGATAATCTTCGCTTTGCCCTCAGGCAGCTCCAACATCCACTGCTCCCTAGTTTTCATCTTACTGGTATCGGAATGGCCATCTAAATTTCTTATTTTTATATCCAATGCTCTCTCTTCGAGTCGCCGGTGCGCGTCTGACCATTTTTCCTCTGAGCCAGCAGGTAAAGGTCCAATGCCCATATCTTCATCTGAACTTTCGTATTTAACGACTTCTCTTTCAGCTAGTACTTTGCGCATATCATCAGGTATAGAAGGTCCTATAATGAAGAAAATAAATGAATAATTATTATTAATCATGATGATACTGATAATTTGAAATAAGCAATCAATAAATTAGTATTAAGTTATACAATTTTAGCAGTTATAGAAATTTTAATTAGCATATTTAGATATTAGAATATTAATATGAAATAATATCATAATTACATAATTGGTAAATTAAAGTTAATTACATAATTAGCTATTAGTTAATTTATAATATAAAAACTGTAAATTGTAATTAATTATAATATACTAGCGACCCACCCCGGCTTCGCGCGCGTGCAATAAACCATCCTTAAGAATCACTCTATCTGTTAAAAAAAACCGCACCAAAATGCGTTGCATAGTTTTAAAGATCTAAGTATACATAGGAACAGACAGACGGCGGATAGTGACTTTGTTTTATACTATGTAGTGATATTCAAAATATTACATTACCTATATTTTTTGAATTCTTGATAAGGTGGGGTGGTAGAGCTGGACCCTCCGTATTTGGTGAGGCGCTTCGCTCGAACCGTTTCTCGAGATGTGGCGGCAGCGCGGGCCCACACACGTCCACAGCTGACTTGTCGTCGCCCCTGGGAGCCGAGCGCCTCAACTTGTGTCTCAAGTCTGTTGGATCAATTTCAATTGCACTCTGAGAATCGTCACTTGATATCTCGCCTTCTTCGCAACTCTCTTTTTGAGCACCTTTTTGTGTAGAAGAGACCACCACATCTTCTACAGGCTCAGTTTGGTTTTTTGTAACATCAGCTTTTACATCAATGTCAGTTGTGCTACTTACTTCTACTGATACTGAAGCGTCCCTCTCCCTGTCTTTGCTGGACTTCGAACTTTTTCTCTTGTGTTTTTTCTTATGTTTCTTCCTTTTTGTTTTTTGTAGTTCTCTCTCTAAATTTAAAAGTTTCGCCCTTAGCCTCTCATCATCAGAAGAATCAATCTCACTCGATTCATCGGTCTTCTCCTTAACGACAGCTGGGATCATGTTATAATAAGAGCCAGGCTGCACTTCAGCAGATGCATCACTATCATGCTCTTCAATAACTATTGGGCTTTCACTTTTTCTTTTTAGCGCAGCAGCAGGTGGGGGAATATATATCTCAGATCTCTTGGATCTATGATCAGGAGATAATGATTTTTCTTTCGATTTTTTGATGGACCTTTCTCGACTTCTACCGTGATCTGGTTTATGACGTAAATCTTCCTTAACTTCTTTTTCTTTTCTAAAATCATGAGCTATATAAGATCGAGAGGTGGACCCAGAATGTTTATGTCTATCTCTACTACTACTTCTATGTTCTTTAACCCTTGGCTTATCACTAGATTCTCTGATCCTACTCTCATGAGATTTTCTGTTTGGGCTTCTATCTCTTGAATGTCTCCTTCTGTTTACAGGAGAATATCTAGAATATCTGTGTCTATCACGTTCGCGTTCTCTATCTCTAGAATATCTATCAGAGCGGGATCGCTCTTCTCTTTTTCTGTCAAAATTTCTATTAAATCTATCAGCTCCAGATTGTCTACTTCTTCCCAAGTCTCTAATATCATCAGCCTTTTGATTAGTAGATTTATCATCTTGGGTCTTTGCTCGACCTTTGAATCTACCTGTTTCGGAATCACTGCTTGACTCATCTGAAATCATTATGGTACCTAGAAACAAAAAAAGAGGTTTTAGAATTAGGAATAAAAAAGCCTAATTTACTTACTACTTTTATTACATATTTACAATACATAAACACATTTAAAACATTTTTGCTATTTTCTTAGCACTGTAACGAACAGACTTCAGAAAACCAGCAGTAAGTATCCCCTTCAAAGATTGCCTCACACTGGACTGCCACACTATGCCTCTCAGTATTTGCCGCAGAACAACAGCACAGTCTATGTCATATGCCACTGCTCGTAGGACATCCTCCATGTCTTGTTGTAAACCACCATGATTCCAAAACTTGACAATTTTTTGCTGGGGTACCATTGGCAACTGCATTAAATGATGCAACTTTGTCTCTGGATTTATATCTTGATGACACTTTGCATCTCCAGTTGGAATGTCCACATAGGCATTAAACTGCTGTATTATGGGACGATACAATTCACGAAAACTCAACAATTGTGGCTGTACTATGTTTCTAACTTTGTTTTTGTTCTCTCCAAATGTCATTCGGAAATCACCCGCATAACTAAGGTTAGATATGGCAAAGTAGAAGTCATACTCAGAAAATGTCTCTGGCAAAGTGAGCAGTGCTGTGTGGACTGCAGAGCGTAAGTTTGAATGGAGAGCAGCTTGAAGTTGAGTGCTATTGGTTTTTTTAATAATCTCTACTGGTTTGTGCAGCCTGCCAGCCAGATACAGATCATTCCAGTCCAAAAGATCAGCAACTAAATCTTTTTGTGAGACAACCCCATACTTTATGAGAATGTTCTCTTCTTTCATTTCAACAAGGGTGTTGAAATATACCTTGGCTCCCCAGTTTTCCTGGAACCTTGCGACAAATCCTTTGCCCAGGTATTTCAGTGCAGAGTAGTGTGTGGGGTTTATTTCGATGTTAGCCGCGTGCCATCGGTATGAGTTGTCCACACAGTAAATTAAATCAATCATGTTCTGTTTTTTATTGTTGCCTATCTGAGGTTTCACAGCAGATCCATAGGCGAAGCAGAACGTAAAATTCTGAGGGAATTTCGACAATATCCTGTAATATAACGGCGATATGTCTTTCGACACACCCGCCAATGCTTTTAAGGCTGTTGCTGTTGCCATTTTTATGTTAATGATGAGAAAGAGATTTCTGCTGACCTGATAAAAACACCACACTCCGCCTGAGAAAAACACCACACTCCGCGCAGAACACTGGATGACAAGTGGACGATAAATAAATAACTTGCTGTTAGGTTCTTCTAATAAACTGTTTTCAATGAATCAACTATTCATTACAAAATTTTTGATTTTTCATTATTACGGAAAACGTTGTTCACTTTCCAACTAATTATAACCAAATGATCACAAACAACACAACGAGACCAGTCAACCATCCAATGCCAATCATAGACAAATTACAACAGATAAATAATATTTGGATATTTGACTATAGACAATCGAATAAAAAGTTAAGATCCTTTATTTCAATAAAAAAATAATTAAACTTAATAATGACTATATTACTAAATTAAATATATAAAAATTAATTAAAATAAAACTAAAAACAACTATTTACGTACAGCATCGAAAAATTCGTCCGCATTGACGTCAGTGGGAAAAATACCCAGAAGGTAATTTTTTTCTTATAGAATCGGATACATAATACAAAAACTGTTATTTATTTTACTATTATTTAATTTTACACGGCATGCAAAACGTTCGCTTGTTATTATTACGGATAAAATCATTGACAAAATAAAACAAAGAAAAACTTACATGAGTATGACAATCAAAATATCAAGTTTGACAATTGCAAAAGAGAAAAAAAAAAGTTTGACAATGACAGTGTTGAGTTTTGACACATGTAGTGTATTTGCTGTTGTTCATCTGATTCTGATTTTGTTCTGGCTGTTTTTCATCATAAAGCAAATACGTAATTTTACTTAGCCTATGTGTATTGCTGGCTGCAGTACAGTAATTCAGTACTATTTATATTTTGATAAAAGAATTTTTATATCATGTCGAGTGCTGACAGAATTGATTTTGAAATGGAAGTAGAGGTGGAAAGTGCTTCATCAGGGCCGGCTGTGGATCCTCCTAACCCCACATCTCCAGCGCCTGCTGCACCAGGTTGCACTAAGAGCGTCGTGGTTACCACGGCCACTTCAGGATCTGTAACTGTGTCTTTGCATCCACTCGTAATAATGAATGTGTCTGAACATTGGACAAGATTGCGAGCGCAAGAAGGATCACCACAGATTGGTCGGTTGCTCATATATTAGGGACAACAATGACATTAATATTTTACAGAAATTACTCCTTATTGTTAAATTATTTGTCCCTAAATGCCTATTTTAATATTTCAGTTATTGGAGCACTAATTGGCAAACAGAAAGGCAGAAACATAGAAGTCATGAATTCATTTGAATTAATGTTCAGTGTTATTGAGGGCGATATTTTAATTGATAGAGATTATTATAATTTAAAGGAGGAACAATGTGAGTATACATGATTACCTTATCAAGTAGATATGAGGAGTACCCTCTGAATATTAGTATGTTTATTTTTAACTTTAAACTGTCAAACACCAAGCGGTCACCGGTGACCGCGACCTATTGTTCTTTAATTGTGTCTATAAAACCGGTACTCGACGAGTTAATGCCTTGGCTAAATAAAATCACATATTAAGTGAAATAAGTAATGATTTTAAGTTTGTGGTGCAAAGAGAATTGAGAGATCTGTAGAACAATCATTGCTGAAAATAAACTATTAAATTCCTTTGTTTACAATTGCAGTCAAACAAGTATTCTCTGATATGGACTTCTTGGGCTGGTACACTACAGGAGATGCTCCCACTGACAAAGACATAGCCATTCATCGTCAGATCTGTGAAATCAATGAGTGCCCAGTCATGCTGATGCTCAACCCAGCAGGAAGGAATGGAGATGTGAGTCGCCCAACAGTATTGTATTTTGATCAATTTCTGATTTATTGTATTCTATCTAATGGTAAAGAGAATTGTAAACCTTTACTTTTATTACTGTAAATAAAAGTTGGCTTAATAGATTTATCATATTATACATAGGTATAAAAAGAGTGACATCCACTTTTCACCCACAATTTTGCTGTAATCAACTTGACCAATAAGGTAGCATTTATTTAACATGATTGTGTTACATCCCTCCTAATTTTTTTTGTAACTGCTGTCAATAAGGTACTTACGTTGTACTAACAAAGTGTTCTTTGTATATTTTTCAGCAACTGCCGGTGGTATTATATGAGTCCGTAATTGATGTAGTTAATGGACGAGCGACAATGCTACTGGCTCCTCTCACATACACGCTGGCAGCAGAAGAAGCAGAAAGAATTGGTGTGGATCATGTAGCCCGAGTGTCTTCAGGTGAAGCCGCTCTTAACAGCTTAGGTGAGGTTTAATATAATATGTATCTGTATTTTTCTTACACGAGTACACAACAGAAAATGTACAAAATATTGTTGAGAAAATTATTTTCAACAGTTGTTATAACTGGTACTGTGTTGCTTATCTATAATTATTTATTTTTATACTTTCAACATTAATTAACTTTGTAACTGTGATAAAGAATCTGCAAAGCATAAAATGTAGTGATTCCTCACCTATAATAATTTTATACATGTTTGTTTCAGTGGCTGAGCACCTAACGGCGCAGCGCTCTGCTATAAAGATGTTAGTATCTCGAGTGCGTGCCGTGCTGGCGACGGTGCGTGCGATCCGTGACGGCACTCTGCCGCCGCGGCCAGCTCTACTGCGGGAAGCGCGCGCACTCTCCAACAGACTGCCTCTGCTCACTTCACAACAGTTCCGCACACACTTCTATAATGTATGTATAGTTTTTATACATTTCTTAGGTACCCATTTGTTTCTTTGTAAACCTTATGGTGGATGTTGATGTGATAATATTTTACTAAAAATCCTGCAATACTAATTGTACATTTTTCAGCAATGCAATGACGTCGCGCTGATGACGTACCTGGGCACAATAACAAAGGGCTGCAATGCCATCAACCAGTTAGTGAACAGATTCAACGTACTCTACGACAGACAGGGCATGGGTCGCCGCATGAGAGGACTATTCTTTTAGGGTGGTAATTAATATTAAATACTTTTGTACAGATACCATAACATCATAGAGTGAGTGGAAAAAATGCATTTTGTAGTCTTTTTTCTAATATGAGATTTTTTCCACAAATTCTATACTCAGTACAATTTAAAGAAATTTAGTTTTTAATATGAGAATATGAGTATTTGCGTTGCTAGAGGCGCTCGTATCGCGTAAGATTTCCGTATGAGCAGAATATTTTTGCTAATGTTAACCAATAGTAAATGTTGCATAAACTTATTAGACTAACAGGATCATATACGCGTCATTGACGCCGCCTAGTGAGAACCAAAATGACAGCCTTATTGATCACGATTCTCATTATAATGAAAAATATTACATCCACACACTAAAGAAAATGTGCTATGATGTCGGCAAATACCATTCTCAAAAATCTGTAATAGTCGAATACCTACTTGATTAAATGTTGATTTGCAGTTTTGTAAATCTACGTTTAGATTAAATTAAAGTAATTACAACACTATACAACAAAACAGAATACTATTATAGCTTTCTGAAGAGAATGTGTTGCAGTCTTAAATCAATATTGGCATTGTTTTTGCTCACAGTACCAATTAATGCCATTCACATTATGTAAGTTAATTGTAAATGTCACGCTACATCATAAAATTGACATAGTGACTGATTTTCTAGCTACTTAATAAAAACATGTACCTTTTAAATTGAAGTTGTTTCATTCACAATAACAACCAAAATAATACACAAATTATGTGACGCATTATTTTATTTACGCATCCCGTTCGTAATTTTATAGTTTCACTTCAAAATTAACAACTTTGGACACATTGAGATTCATGGTATGGAAGACTTTGTTAGATAAGTCTCTGTAAGACACCAAATTATGGAGACCGGAGGTGACGTAAATATTTAACTTCATTATAATTTAACAGGGTAATAATATTGTCAAGCTACATGTATGACATGGTTTCAAATAATTCAATCAGTATTTACAATTAAGTGGTTGAAAACTTCATTACGATGATTGATTACGTAACTATTGTGATTATAAAAAAATGAAGTTGGTAAACTTGGAAACTTTTATAAACAGTACACAGTCTTAATATTAGCACTGCCCTATAATTTATGTAAATTTATTAAAATTTGTAATTAAAAATCCCTTTACATTAGTTTTTTTATTCAAGTTTATTAACAATGACTTGATAAATGTTACATTAAGGTAAATTTTATAATTGTACTTTAATCGATAGTTTTGTATAAAAATACTTTATTAAAGTTTTGTATTTTTAAATCGAATCAAATGCTAATATTGCTTTTATGTAACTATTTCGTAAAAAATATCTAAAAGTCCACAAACATTATTTAAAATAAGACACAGTTGAACCACCTTACTATTGAATATGATGACGGAATAACATAAATGCATTAATGAGTAATAGCAGAGTGACTGAACGAAGCTAACTTAATGTGGCACGGAGTAATAAGCAAAGAGAGTGCTACTATATATTACTCCGCGTGGTTAAATTATTATAAATTTGCGCGGCCTGCAGAACGCCGAATCCTGTACGATCACTGATAGAGCTTCATACGGTTTGTTCCCAGTGAGTGGCCAGTCGTGGCTCGCGCACCATTTACTAACAAATTGTTGTGACGCAGTAGTATTGAGAGTCTTGTCGTGGAGCCCTGCGTTCGGTTAGTGTTAGCTATGTGTCGTCTGGTATCTTCTCGATGCCTATTAGTTCGTCAAACAGCGAATGGTTGTCCGGTATAACGTGCGGTTCGTTAAGCGTCTGTCGCGCGAACTTAAGAACTGCGCGCGCTAACTGACCCACCGTCCATTTTCTATCCACTAGGACCCTGACAAGTGTGTCCAACTGTGAAGAGAAGAGAATTTTATTAATTTCTTACTAGGTAGGTATGTCCTCAACATGTTATTATTAGGTATGAAAAAAAAAACAGAAAGAAAAACAAAACACTTCAATCCCACCTTGAAGAGCTTCTCGTTGCCGAAGGTGTAGTAGATGAGCGCGGGCACGCCGGCGACGCTGGCGGCCAGCCACTGCAGTAGCAGCTTGAGCTGTGGATGTCCGCGCAGCCGCCGGCCGCAGCCCCAGTTGCCCGTGGCCACGGGCCGACACGCGCCGCCCGACACGATCTTTTGCGCCAACTGCGACAGCTGCGAACCGTGTCGCGATCAACTTCACTCACCATCCCACATAGGGCACTCGTACATAGGGCACAAATCCATAAGCTACAAGGATTCTATTTGTGTCAAATTAAGGATCTAAAGATTATATTTTTTTATTCGAATCCTCTAATAAATCTATTTATTAGCAGTATTTGTTCTGTTAATGCTGAGTGTGGCAGTTTTTTTGCAGAAATCTTGTCGCTAGGCTATTTAGAAATTGACAACCTATAATAAGAACCTATGGGAGATGATGAAATGACGGTAAAGCGCTGTAAAGCGCTGCTGTGTAGTAGTTTAAAAACAATGTCAGTTGGGTCAGTTTGGTCAACCTTCCAAATAAATACACACACATATCTAGGTAGATAGATACTTGTATAGTAAAGTTTCAAGCGATTAGCGGCACCGTACTGTTACTTATTTCAAAGTCTACCACACTTTGGTTTCTATAGAGGTATAAGTAATATTAGCCGAAGTAAATAGCTTACTTTATTTGGACGGACATAGAACACAATGGAAACACGTGAACATCGAGCGTTAGCGTCTACATAACTTCTGAACTCGACAATATTTAACTCTGTATCTAGACGGCGAGACGAGGACTCCGAGACTGCGATACAAACACTGTGTCGCTTACAACTCGGTGAGGTCAGGTTACGTCCATGCGTTCCCGGTCCGAATTCTAGGGCGGAACGAATGAACGCGGAACCGCGTCCCCAGTCTTAGCTTCAACTATTACATGCAACATCACAGAAGTATATGTTTCGACAGAAAGCGAAGACGTACGATCAGTTTATGTTATGTTAGTACTGAGTGTTTACAAGTTAGCGACAGCCGGGTGCACGCCTGACCTTCGGTTTCTTTAGCTTTACAGTGACCGGCTCGCACTCGACGGTCTCCTCAATCGTCTCTACGATCATGTTTATCATCCAGTTCAACTTTTTCCTCCTGAGTCCGCGGTTGGACTCAGTGTCTGACTCAGTCGTGTCCGTACGTTTGACTTCGTCGCCGCGTTCTGTGTCTGCGGTCGCGGTCGCTCGCGTGCCCTCTATTATCTCCTCCGGTATAGATTCTTTTACTTTACGTTTCTGTCAAAACATATAGCATTTTAGTACCGTTGGTTCATTTTGTTATGTAATTTGCTTGTTGCCAATGAATGTAAGTTGTAGATGCACTCGATTAGTTACGAAATATCAGCATCAGCGAGCCGAATTCTGTAACTTACCTTGATTTGTTAATAGGTTAGCATGTTGAGTTAATCACCTTTTCTATGTTGATAGCTATGTAAATACTAAACATACAAAACGCTTATGTCTCTGTGGAGTAACATAAGTCAATGGACACACACACGCATAACCCGGAAACTTGTTTCCAATTGTCCTATTTTTTAAAATTACATTTTCATCTTCAATTTCTGTAATACCTATAGTCTAATTTAATTTATTTAGAGCAGAGAGTAGTGCATGTAATGAATACATTACGTACGAGATGTGCAGCCAGTCGATGTTTGTGCCTTGCTAGCTCGAGAGACAGTGAGCGCGCCGCCAGCGCCAGCGGACGCGGCGGTATCGCGCGCGGCTCGCGACCGTACAGTTCCGCGGCGTCCGCGCCGCTACCGCCGCCCACTGCTAGAGACTCCGACAGAGTACGCTTCAACAGGGAGCCTGCAAACCTACACACGGGAAATATAAACGTACATAAATATGTTTTTAGTACAGACCAAGCTTTATCATTGTAAATCATGTAAGCCAAGAGCAATCAGCCAAAAAGTTTCCAAAAAAATCAAGCTGCGTTTCATTTGAACGGCAGTTTCAGACAACGAGATTAATGAGGACAGTATTATTAGACAAAGTAGGCAAAAATAGTTTCTAATCCTCTTCCATCCGATATCTTTTTTCAGTTGATCGTTCGTCTAATAGTACAAAAGAGCCACTTGGAGAAGCCCTTAAACTATTTGGATTTGGTCCAATAAGATTGACTTATAGGTACCTAATCACAGCCAAGTCTCGCGAGTCGAGTTCCCTGTTCTTGTGTTCCCCGGACTCCGCGTCGACGATGGGGTCGTTCAGCCACTGGTTGAACTGCTCGTACACCTCTTCTAACTCCGAACTGATAGGCAAATTCATAAAGATTTAAACATTAAACCGCAAAATTATCAATAGTTTTAATTTAATTTTTTTCATCTATCTTGTTAGATCCTTTCGCTCCTACCGATTTTCTTTATAAATATTTCGTAAGAATCATCTCATTCACTGTATAAACATTTGTCCAATAGTTTTTATATTTAACACAGACTGAGATGGCACCCGATGGAGAGTTGTTGTTAAATCGAATAAACTCACGTGTATTCGGTGCTGAAGCTGTACTTAGAACTGTTGCCGGTGTCCTTCCTGCCGAGCGGTCGATGTCTCGGTGAAGGCTCGCCGTTGCTTACAGTCTCCTTCTCCGTCAACACGAAGCCAACTGAACCTCCGCGTTTTACCCTGGTAGATTGAAACCGTTCGATTAGGTTCATTTACGATGGTTATTTGTAATAATAATATAATAATAATAATATTCTTTATTGTACACCACATAAACATAAAGGACAACAAAGAATTGATATAGTGCACAGTGCACACAATTGTACATTATATACAGGTAGGTAGAATTCGAGTTTTTAGGTTCAAAGGATTATTAATTTCATTCGCAAAGTAAACAAGGCAAATATCGTCTTTCGTATAGTATAGTCACTTCTACAAACAAAGATACCTGATATCATTGTCTTGCACCCCCGCCCCAGATATGCTGATACCGACAGCATAGCTAGAACTATCAGTGGACCAGTCCCCAGTGCTTGTGGTGGTAGAATGTTCAGCTTCTCTTCTCAAAGCCTCCCGTAGTCTGTCTGCGAAACTCAGCCGTCTTTCTTCCGTCGACAGCTCCTTGAGGTACTGGAATGAATTGGGACGAGCACTCTCGCCACGACCTTCGTCTTCACTGCCTGGAATTAATATCACTTTCATTTTCAACATACACTACATCACGTCTTTTAATCCAGGCTGCCAAGAGGTAAACTAGATGGATTGTGCCCATCCTAGTATAGTCTCCATAGCGGTTATCGTTGCATCGTCTCTAAAAGCACCTCCTCCAATAATAATTTCAAACTCTACTCAGATTATATTTTTTGTAAACATCCAATAACAAATACAAGCAGTAAGCACTTTTTTTTTAAGGGGGGAAAATCATCGAATGGCTTCTACCGCCTGGGTTAGGCGGAAGGGAATGTCAGACTCTTACTGACTAAAATTCACCCCGTTCCTTCTCCTGCACGTCGAGCCGGAGCCCCGGTTACCCGTTAGGTGCTCCGCGACTCCGAATCGGCATCGGCCCTATTGGGCCCCATCTGTGGTGGTCTGATGGCTCTTTGAGGCGCGCGCGGAACGCGACGCGCCGTACGCTCGGGAGCAGTAAGGACTAGAAGTCCATAAATGACAATAATATTCAAGTTACCATAATCGAAGCTATCATTAGCGCTGTGGTATTCGTCGTCGCTGGAGTTACAGCTGGAGTAGAGACTGTCTTCCTGCCCGTCCTGCAGGGCGCCGGTAGACCGCGTCACTGGCAAGCACTCGCCGGAGGATCCCAGCACTATGAAACGACCGCGCCGGTTGTTCAACATGCCACCGTCCGGAGATAACCAACATTTCTTCTTTGTGAATTCTGCACCTGAAAGAAAATTAGATTGCTTAACAGACAATGATCTAGCTTTTATGTCAACTTCTGTTTTGAGCAAGGGCATTTTATAGCTACACTTTTTTTATTTTGCTCTACTTACTAGGATCGTTAAGATTGAGGGTGGCAGCACAATAGTTCTGCGGCGAAGGACTGCGACTGTTGTAGCTGTTGAGCGTGCTGCACGAGGAAGCTTGCTTTATCACCACTGTCGCCTCTACCTCAGGTGGCGTGTGGCTGAACGATTCTCCTGTAACATGAATAATTTTAATAAAACATGAAACGCAGCAACGTTGATGCACTTTTCGAATTTATTTTCATTGAACATTATTTTTGACTTACCAATAGGTGAGAGTCTCCGTTCGTGTCGGTTGCCCTCTCTGGTCTTCATAGGAGTTTGTTGGAAGGCGAGTAGGCACTTGTTGAGTTCTCGAAGCACGTTGTCTTCTTCCCACTGCCCCAGTGGCAGTTTGCTATAATCTTCCGCGTCCATTAGACAAACGGTCACCTGTATAACGAACATTTCGGGACTTAAAAGTGTGGGGAGGAATAAAATAATGTTTTGGTTTATTGAAGGTCTAGTCTAGGTGTGGAGCTTTAGTAAATTGTTTCGAAGTTTTTAAGTTCACGGAAAAAGTTAGTCTTTATTTTCCAGGATATTACTTTCCACAAAATCTACAGTATACATACGACCTTACCGTTTTTGGTTCATCAAGTAGTTCGATTTTGGTCTTCTGTCTCTTGTCACAGATCCTGCTGAATAGTCTGACCCCTTCCACCTTGAGCACCTCATTGTCTTCCAACGCCTCAACCGACAGCATCGCCGGTAGCAGCTCCGGCATCATAAACATAGATAGGGATTCCTGGATACCAAAATATAGGTCCGTCATTTAGGTTCTGATTTAGAGTTTGTTTAAATTTGAATAAAAGTAGGTACGTGATCAGCTTCCATGGTTGATCACTGAGCATAATAGATTTAGTTGTCGTTCCCAGTTGTTCGCATTCAATTATAAATTTGGAATTGAAAACAAATCATAGTATCAATTTACTGAGTTGGACAATTGTCAAGTTTACAGCAGGTTGGCCTAGATTTCTCATTACTTATGTTTTTTTTCTATTGCAGCAGCAAACTTTTATAATTTTATATGTATGTACAAGTACATACATTTGGTAAACCCCTATTGGTCTATCTATAGAAAGTTGGTGATGTGACCTGAAGGCGTTTTCATTAGGGGTGAAAGAAAATCTTGCATAATTTGTACCTGTGATTCTCCATCAATGAGTGTATCACCGCCGACCCTACTGGACGCGAAGCACACTCTGATGGCCTCGTCATTCTCGCACCGCTCGGGACGACCCTCGTGTCGCACCAGCAACTTGCACAGCGGCAACGTGCATTCCAACCAGTCCTCTATAGTCAACCACTGTTTTGACGTCATCACCTACAATGGAATATAATTATTGAAATATTTATTGAACTTAACACTAAATACTTTGAACAACCGACCATTGGATAGATTGGGTAGTAGAAAATACCTAGTACAAAATTAAAGTATATGTGTGCCTATGATGGACGGCGACAAACATTACCTGAAATATCATAATTTGGTTGATGGAAGGTGGTGTATACCACTTCAACCACCTACCAATAGAATAGACTATTGAAAATTCGAAGTAAACCCGAAGATTATGAATTAATTTATTAAGTACTAGGTTGTAGGTACTGAGATAGAGTACTTAGCCGTTGATGGTCACCGATATGACAATGAAATATATTTATCTAAACTATGCAATGGTTCGTTTTATAGTGACTGACAGTACTGACACGGCGCTCCGAAGTCCATTCATCATAATCAAGAAAACATCTGTATGGCATCTTCAACAGTTGTGGCCATGATTAACTATGGTTTATAGTAGGTACGAAATTAATCAACGAAACAAACGCAAATGTTGTTATAATCGCATTAAAAGTCATTTAAAATTGTTCTGGGATAATGAGGTCAAATGAATTCAATCATCATACCGTCGTCTAATAATAATCGTCTACTTATACCTCCACTCACTCAAAATAAAAAAATCCCTTTAGTCTTCAAGAATATTATTAAGTTGACTGTTAAATCTTAATTTCATAGTATCAAAAGTGTCACCAAAACTTTGTATGTCCTACTGGAAAATACTAGTTTTTATAAGATAGTTCTACATTGATCGTTATAAGGTTGATTATTGCTTTATCAAGACGGTTGGCGATCCTTACCTGTCTGCTTAACTTAATGGATCCCTCGTTGCTACTCTTATCTAACCATTCAAAGTAGTGAAGTAAGCTTTTTAATTTGTTCCTTTGCGATTTTCTGGAACAAACGAGAATGTATTAATCAAAGTTCCATTCAAGTGTTATTGATTTGGACTAGTTCCCCTAATTGTTAGGTCAACGACTGCTTATCAATATCAATTTGTATCGGTTTTTACATCTAGTTTAGTCTGGAGACTGATCAAAAATAGAAGTATTACTTTCCTACGTAGGCATCAAGAGAATTCTGTTTAGTTCTATTGTCTAGCAATTGTATCTCGAAATTCAGTATTACGAAAGTTATGCCTTAGGTAGATAGTAGGTTAACGGAAGCCAAGAGTTAGGATTAGAAACTGCTTCCCAAGATATTCTATAGGTAGTTTGCTTGAGCATGGACTTGATGTAGGTAAGTAGGGCCTTTAAATCTTAATAATATATATTATAGAAGGTTAATACGATTTTAGAGTATAACATACCTGTGTAAATTCTTAAAAAAATGGGTAAAGTTGAAGTCTTGCAAGGTGGGGTGTGTCTTGAGCGTCCGCTTGGGGTTCGTGGAGAAGAAGGCGTGTGCCACCAGCGACGATACGAAGTTGTACTCTAGTTCCGTTACATCACCTACAAATATAAAATTTATTAAATATCTACTAATTATTATTAGAAACATATATGTACATACACTAGCAGAAGGTACACAAATGCCAGTAACTTAAAATCTTGTAGGCAGATTTGACTACGAGAAGTTAAGGACCTGTAGCCACGTCCGTCCAGATTCATGAAAAATACGGATAAAAGAACGCCAGTAGCTCAGATAAAGGTATTGTAATAAAAATGGTAACAATAAAAGGAAAACACCTGCCTATCGCCTACACCTGTCTACAGAAATAAAATACCGACATAGGCACATAGCTGGCCCTATCCATTCTATCAGAGGAAAGAAAGAAGTTAAATTAAAATGATTAATAAATATTAAAACGGGATTTATCTTTTACCTGCAGGCGTGAGGGAGGTATACCTACAATCCAGACTTAAATAAAATGTCTAAATAACCTAATTCTTGTTAAAACAAAACTAAGTTCGGTCTATTTATAAATAAACCCTCACAGAACAGAGTCCTGCCCGTTATAAGATTAAAATCTGATCGCAAAGTCAGTCTTTGAACAAAAGAAAGAGGATTTTAATTTTAACTGAAATCAGCCCACGCGGCCCTGACTTGAAATTATCCGATAAATACTTCAATGCGGCATTACCTAGGTACCTAGTTAGGGATTAGGTTCTAAAGCAGATTACGTTTACGTAACTTTGAGCAATAAAGCTTAAAACAAAACTGCCTTTGTTTTATTCTAGAAAAGAGGTTCTTGTTACTTTCACATAGATTCACTGTGAAGTTGTTGTTTTCATAATGTTAGACAAGCAATTCTTATATTTAGGGATATAGGTAAATAAATGTCCTTTATTTTATTAATACCTACCTACAACTGTCAATCTTATATCTTTTCTTTATAATAGTTATGAATACAAGCTTCCCCTAAGTCAGATAATAATGCAGGGTATTATGTAACTAAGACGTCTAGGCAGTTTTATCCAAGAACTATATTAAACGAAGGCTTAGAACAATATGAGAATGCAGCACTTAATTAGGTACCTAATACAAATCAAAATAGTGGAGGTATTGCACTAGGAACCTATTTAGTGAATTAATATATTTAGTCGTACCACTAATTAGATAAACACTAGACTATGTAAGATCTACACCTACATGAAGGCTTAAGGAGTTCCGGATAACAATTAACCACAAAGAGCGGTGAACAAATCCTTTCTACCTACATGGGTTTTCTTTGGGGATTAGGAGCTTCAAATCGTCCGTGAACTTTAAAAGGTTTCTTAATTCTTAAGCTTGATATAACATCAAAGCCACTTAGTAAAAAGTATTACATGTATAAAATTTAGTAAATAAACAAACGTAGGTCGTCTTACTTACTTTGTTGTTGTAAGCTGAACATCAGTCCTTTAGGCGGTCGCCAGCGCTTGAGGTGCAGCGCCTTGTTCACCATGATCCTAATAGTATTATCGAGGAAGTGCCTCCTCTCCTCCTCCGTCATCTCTTCCTCGAGGAACACCTCCAGCCCTTTCATCAGCTCCGGGTCCTTGATATCATCATCCGGGTCTATGCCGATGCTGATGTTTAGAAAATCGTTAAATTGGTCTATCAATATTTGATAGTATAAATAATGGTAAGTAATTGATACGACAGCACAGTTTGTTTTTAACTTTAAAGTTCTCAATTAGTAATTTATATGATAAAAACACTCACTTGCACATGTCATGTATTTTCAGCATGCTGGCTGTAAGTTTCGCCGGCGAAGACGCCAGGAGCAGATGCTTCAAGTGCCGTTGCACTGACGTCCACCAGGGAAGATCACAAGGTAGCATTACAAGCGCCATGCTGAAAGATATGCTCTATTTGTATAAACCCTCGTTATTACTTTATTGAGGAGAGTTTTTAAGTATGTAAATATTCATCTATTTCTAAACATTCAAATTCCCGCTGAGCGGAAGTGAAGTAATATTGCGTTCATAATAACATACATTTTCATGACATGCGTTTTACTCCAATAAATAATCTCAATTTAAGAGATCTACTATAATCTCTAGTTATTAAATAAACCGCAAAACCATATCAGTTGGCAACCAAATCAATAGTTCCAAACGTTAGACAATTTTAACTTGTTCTATAGCTACCTCGCAGTGTATCGCAGTACGAGTTGTGCGAACGCTCCCGTTACTATTTGACGTTTGACATTTGAAGTTTGACTACGCGGTTTACAGTGGTTCAGTGTACAGTGTTTTTGTATTTTATATATTTTATTTAATTTTACAATTATTTTCCAAATGCAATAATCAGTAAAATTATACCAGCTATTAACAATTTATGTGTACTATTGTTAAGTACAGTTTCATTCAGTAAATCAGTGTAAATATATTACGAAACAAATCTAAATGTTACGTGTTTAGCGGTAACCAGTATTATCATCGAATGCAGATATACGAATAAGTTTTAATCAATAAAGACCGCATAATCGAATCGAGGTTATTACTCTGCGATTCAATACGGTCGTATGTACGGTACGGTTGTATGATAAACTCGAGAGATACAGTGCGCACATAGCGACAATATCAAAGTACAAAGGTCAGTAACTATGAGTGGTAAATTGTTAAAAACTCTAATTCTTGGAGCACCTGCCTCAGGCAAGGGCACTATATCGTCCCGGATAGTGAAGAAATATGCTGTGGCACATGTGTCCAGTGGAGACAAGTTGAGGGACCACATTGAGAAACAAACTGACCTAGGTAAAGAAGTTAAAAAGTACTTGAATGAAGGGAAACTTGTACCTGATGATGTAATGATAAAATTTATGATCACGGAATTAAAAAAAGTTGAAGATAAACCATGGCTACTGGATGGATTCCCGAGGACTGTGGGACAAGCTGATGCATTGTGGAAGGTACAACCTGTTGATGTTGTAGTTAACTTAGTAGTGCCTTTTGAGGTAATCATAGACAGAGTGAAGAACCGCTGGGTGCACTTACCTTCAGGCCGAGTTTATAACATTGGCTTCAACACTCCTAAAGTTGAAGGTAAGGATGATGAGACAGGTGAGGACTTGGTTCAGAGACCTGATGACAAGCCTGAAGCTGTGCGCAAGCGGCTGGAGATCTATGAGAGTGTGACGAGGCCAGTCATAGAGTTCTACAAAGCTAAAGGTATTCTAAAAGAGTTTGAAGGGCGCACTTCTGATGAGATTTGGCCAAAAGTTACAGCTTATCTAGATCCTATTTTTAAAAAGTGAACCTGTACACTTATTTATTATAGTTATAACTAGGCAGCATTGTAGTCATAGTTTTGCAGAAATGAATTGTACTGGTGCTTGGAACAATAGTATTAAGAGTAACATTCAGTAATGACTTACTGTATTTTGTAGAATTTTTATAATTGTTATATTATTTGCAGAGCCATTAATTATATCAGTTGACTTGTTGGTATATATATAACTTCATTTATCAGGAGTTTGTATGTATAGTACATATATTTAACTGTAGATACATCATATTTTGTATACTTATTTTTATTGGGAAATCAGAACATATCTGTTTAAATACTGAGGCCATTTAAACTCAGGCTGATTTTTGTGTGTGCAATGTATAAATAGTTAACTTGTATAAAAAAGACAAGCACAGTCATAAGGTATATGTATGTATGTACATAATAATATAATGTATAGATATAGAACATTGGTTAGGTACTTCCTAGTCTTCCATGTTAATATGTACTTATGTAGTGTAGTTATTAAGTATATTTTAGAATAACTAGTGCCTTAATAAAGGCTCAGAGTACCTATATTAATATTAAGTAATGTAAATTTTAATCAAGTTCCTTATTTTCTATTCACAAAATCAAATCGCCTACAAGAGCTCAAATGATCATAGTTAATTATACTTTGTAATATTCTTTATCTTACTTTAAAATACATATACATAGTAAAGTAGTTTTGTTAATATATTTTACACTTGTTTGTCGAGTTTTATATTATTGTTTAATCAATTAATAAACGTTAGTTATTTATTTCGTGGTTTCATTCGTTTACTAATTAACAGTCGCGTCTATTGTTATGATATTCGTATACTTAATTAATAATAATATTTATGGTATTTAGAGTCATTTAAATATTTGCTAAACGCCAAGAAAATTAATATAAAAATATGTGTGAGCTGGTGGCCTGGGTAAACAGTAAATAACCGTAGAGAACAAATTTACGGAAACACCTAGTTATGCAAACTATTTTCCAGCTGTTGGAAGTACCACGTAACCATGCTGACTACGATACTTGTAGTAAGCCATTGTTTGTTTACGTTAGTTTAATCTACGTCAGTGTGATTCGGTTCGTCTGCTCTGCGCTGCAAGACACACCATGGTACGAAGACACACATTTAGTTACCCTACCGCAATATCTAAGACGAAAATCCATAATATTCAAAGCTTGTTGCTGTAACTATGGCGAAAGCAAACATGTAATATTAGTAGTCGTCAATTTACATACTAGGACAAAAATGAAAATATCTTTAGCCATAAAGTTGAGTATCATATAGATACGGCATAGCATGACAAACGCAACAAATAAAACCAAACTGAGATTTTATCGGAAACTTATTAATGCTATCCACTTTACTACAATAGTCAGGCTGAAACCAGAAATGTTTAGTAACAGGATATATTTAGTTACCTTATAACGAATGCGTTGCAGTTGAGGCACAATAATTATTTCGTTAACACTATAATAACACCATCAGTCACTGTCGCCTTGCGACTACCGGCTTCTTTTTACGCACTTTTCTCATTATCTACAAGGGAACCGTCCACTGGTATTCTTTAGCATGTAGAATATCTTATTGCTTTTCTATAAGACAGAAATAGTGTAGGGAGAAACGCGGGCCGGCTGCGGGCAGACACGAGCGCGCAAACCCCGACTATTTTTAGCTGCTTTCGTGCATCGCCGCTGAAATTAGATTGTAAATAAAAAGTTTGGGTTAACAGGAGTCGAAGGCCTCATTACTCGTTCTTGTAGGTCATCTTTAAACAAATAGGAACCTGAAGGGTTTCTGTTAATGAGTAATTATAACTGTTCACGTTCTTGTACCATTATTTCCTGACGCGCTTTCAGGAAAGTTATGTAGCCTCGATAATTCGCTTCATGGCCACTATATGTAGGTTATACGCTTATTTATAGTATTTTGCGATTTTACTTTGTCACGAAAAGCTGATTATAAATTACACACTGTAAACAAAGAGTTTTAGCCATTCTTACAGAAACGTACCCAATTTCGCCCGCTGCTGTTACTGCAGCGAACTAGTTACTTATTAAACTATCTCAAGGAGTAATAAATCCTAGTGCCCAATTTGTTTTCAGCTATTGCCAAAACAATCTAGCGCGAAAGTGTAGCGGACACTTGAAACTTCAGTAACTTTTCACTCACTGTGCAGAATTAGAATTTAGATGTTTCACTAAACGTTAGAATTAAAATAATATTTGGAACTATTATAGTGATAGCAAATCCCGATTCCTCAGCTTCTAGGTTAAACGATCGGTGTAAATAGAGGAGCGAGGAACAAAGTGTACGAGCCGATCAACGTGCCAGGCTGTACTGACGCCGACGGGCCGACTTTCACTGGGGGGTGACTACCCTTGCCCTGCCGGCTGTCGCACCCTCCACCCTAGGCAGTGACGTCACTCGGGCGCGTCACGACCTACGACGCCGTACGACGCCGCCACCCGATGCTCGATACCCCGCTCTCTAATAGCACGCCTCGTGTAATGTCGCTGCTGCTCCCGAAACGTTACGTAAAATGAAATATGAAAGTACCCACAGCCTGCGTCAGCACACTACATCATTTTCATACGGTTAATGTTTCCCGTACAAAAATTAAACTGCTGACTGAGAACCTTGTCACAATCGCGTTCGTAGGCATTTGTTTAGCTATAGCAGAGTTTACGTTAGGCAGCTGTAGGTGCGAAATGGACTAAATATTTCTTCTATAACATATTTCTAAAATTATCTAATATTTTTATCAAGTTTATAAGAAGAATTTACGATTTAAGCTCGTTAAAAATGATAACAATTCAGGTATGACACTTAAATTTTAATAATGATAGAACCTCTTTACTCCTCCATAAATTCCTTCTATAAAATATCTAAATCATTCCACAAAAAAAAAAGTTCACAGGATGCTTAGACCTTTTAAAATATGAATATTTTTATTATAAAATATTAATAAAAATGACAAAAGAATTTATAAGAGCTGTTTTATAACGAACTGGTACCTTCTGAAGAATTTAGTGAATTTGTTTGTAGTAGATGCCAATCTGAATTCCCGAGATTACAGCTGCTTCTAGGCTCTTGGTAATGAATATCTGGAATATTTAGCTGGCTACTTAACTAGGTATTATCAACAGATTCTCCAGACATATTATAATGTTTTATGTAAGTACCTAGGTACCAAGTACCGTACATAGGACAGTTAGGTGGGTTTATGTATATTGTAAACGTATCTATACCATTTATTGTCCAATTTCGATGTAGGAGTATTTCTTATATTTGTATAATACCGTAAATTATTTTTTTTATGTATGTTAGTATACCTACATACACAGTTATACGATAGTTTTTTTTTTAAGGGGGGAAAATCATCGGATGACTTCTCCCGCCTGGGTGAGGCGGAAGGGAGTGTCAGACTCTTACTGACTAAAAACCACCCCGTTCCTTCTCCTGCACGTCGAGCCGGAGCCCCGGTTACCCGTTAGGTTCTCCGCGACAGTTATACGATAGATACTATCATTTCAATACGGTAGATGACTAATTTTTATTTTAATGTCCGTCTGGTAGATTATTTACTGTCAAACACCAAGCGGTCACCGGTGACCGCGACCTATTGTTCTTTAATTGTGTCTATAAAACCGGTACTCGACGAGTTAAAACATTAGACACGTATTTTTAATTTTTTTACGGAAACTAACAGTTTCGAAGATATATTGCTTTGAAATGTCGCGTGACGTCATTTCTATGTACATTTTATACGAAGAAATGACGTTTTAGCCCCCACTCCTAAACTTTGATTCGTTATATCTAAGTATCATTATATTATACAACAAAATAAAAAATACGTGTCTAATATTTTTTCATTACCTAACTCACGGATTAATTACATTTTTAATTTCCATACCCTGTCATCATCCCTATTGATTTATCATCGTATTGCAAGATATATTTGACATCATAATTATAAATCTGGAATAAAATAGGTGACGCATAATTTTATGTGTGTAGCATCTTTCTGCATCATAAACTTAAATAACGAGGAAATTGTTAGTGTGAAATTACTACTAAAGTAGTCGGAAATATTTTACTACCTAATTTAATTTTAACAGAGCATATTACTCGGTTTTCTCAGGATATAATATTTTATGTAGTTAATACTCAAGAAATGTTAATGATAGTGCTTTACAATCAATAACAGGTACTAGTATTCACTTATAGTAGTTTTATTATACCTACTTACGTGAGTTTTACAATATCCTACAAACATAGAGTAAGTGCTGTCGGCTGTGTTGTCCGTAGCCGACTAGCTAGCTTCCAGGACTTGCAAAGCCTCTGTGACCTTTCCGTCTACTGCGCATGCGTATTCTCCTTGTCTGTCTGTCCCTTTCTCATTTTTCAAACACTGATGTCTCGGTTTATTTTAACCTCTTCTGTCTTCGGATAGCCTGGTAAAGTAGCCGCCCGTGGAAAATTGTTGCCGCCCTACACAGGCTACGTTGGGCGGGCTAGGGCGGAGCAGCAATCCGCCTTTAATAGTTTGTAGATGGAACACTCGCTTCTGTCAGTACTGATAAGTTAGAAAGTTTAAAATAATTATTTGAATGAAGTTATTCGTTGTTATTATTATTTTATTATTTGAAGTATAGATATTAAACGTGCGTTGATCAGACATTTATATTCAAACTAAAATCTTGGCACGATACAACATTATTAAAAGCATAGATAACATCTGAATAGTAGAGTATGAATTGAGAGCATTAAAAGGTTCATTAAAATATCTGTAAAAGGTCATTTATTTTGAGAAAGTCATTGAGAGATTCTTATCAAAGCCACGCGTGATTCTGAAAGAAGCCTACTTAATGCTATAAAGTCCTTCAAATAGACTGATACCTTTGTTATTATGAAACCCTAGTAGTTTCGCCACGTGACTCCGAATCAGTGCCGCCCCCCGGTTCAAGAAGAGGGCGGAGGTTTTCTT